CCCAAGGGGCGATGAGATTCGAAGGGAAGTACTTTCCATTGGTAGTGTTTCCCGCCTAGGATAAATCTTAGATATTTCCTTGAATTGGGATGAATCGAATGTGTAGGTATGCATCTTGCAAATCTATGCTGGCCATGTAATCTTTGGGACGAATTAAGTGCGAAGTTATGTAAGTGTATCATGCTTAAACGCTGGCGGTTTGCTTAGATAGTCTTTGTTGAAGATGCTCATGTTGTATATGAGAGACTAAACTTTTCCTTGGAATTTTTCTTGGGCACTAGGAAAACTGGGGAGTAGAAACCTGGTACGATGTTTCGCTGATCCAGAACTTCTAAGGCCTGTTTGCTTAGCAGAGTAGCTACTGTTTCTCTTAACATAGGTAGTTGAGCGGTTGAAAGTCGAACCTTGGAGGGGTGACTGTTAACGGGTGTGGCCTTGAGTTGTATTTGATATCCGTGCTGTAGGATGTTGGATACATAAGGATCTTGTAGTATTCCCCAGTTTTCCCAGTGCAGCTGAAGCGTCCACCCACTTGGGAAGGTTGTACTGGAACGGCTGGGGTGGAAGACTCCAGTCGTTCGAACCTGAATATCATCGCCAAATCCGCTGAAACCTCTGGATGATCTGCCTCTTGATGATCCTCCTCTGAAATTTCTGTATGGGCTTAATTTAAAAGATTCCCTGGGACTTTTGCTGTAGCCAATTTCTTGTCCGTGCTTTCTGTAGTCCAGAGAATTTAGACTTGCCAGAGTATCTCAAGGATGATTGTTTAATGACGCTCGCTAACGTATCCATGGACTTGATCATAAGCACCTCTCTAGAGTCCTTAGACACCTCTTTGGAGACCTTGTCTATGTTACCACCAAAGAGTAGGGCTGATGACCATGGGGCAGCGTAGAGAGTGATTCCGCAGAAATTGATTATCCCAATTGCAGGAGGCTAGTAGACCCTGCCGATGAGCCATGGTAGTAGCTTCCGTGAAGTGCTCACAAGTGATTAGTAAGGAACTGATGGTCTCTTTTCTGCATGAGTAGAGCCGAGTAGATCATTCTATCTTCCTCCTCTGTAGAATCTTTGAACTTGGTGATGAGAGTTTCATTAACCGTTCTAGATCTATTCAATCCAAAAAACATTCTCCTAGAAATGGTATCCAACTGGGCTAGTTTGCGATCGCTCATTCTGTAATTTCTGGACTTGGAATCACTGATTAACTTGAAGTTGACATCAATCTCTTGGGCCTTGAAAAAGGAGTCCATATTGTGACCTGCAAATTTCTTGGCGTTGAAAACCGGAAATGTGTTGATTGAAATTTTGTAGATTTGGTAAAGGCTGTATCCAGATTAGCTGGAACTGCTGCTATCGGGTCAATAGGAGGTAAAGTGATAGTGTCCGCGATCATCTTCCTTCATCAAATAAGTATGAGCTGAGTTCTCGCGTTCTTAGACGGGAAGCAAGTTCTAATCCATTCACCATCCAGTATCTAATTTCAGCATCTGAGAATATGATACCTTCTTCCTCTTCTGACGAGGATCACATGTAATAGAGTGAGGTGGAGTCCTAGATCTGTTAGAAGATCGAGAAGATTGTGGTGAACGGACTGACGAGTGGCTAGTATAGGGAGACCTTGGAGGATACTTCCTCGGTGAACGCTGGTGGCTTCGTGAAGCTCTCGATGAATCCCTTCTAGATCTTCTGGGTGAAGATGCCTTTGAGCCACTTAACCTTCGTGGAGGCGTTCGGGAAGGTATCGAGTCAGAGTCCGAATCATTATATGAGAGCCTGCTTCGTGAACGACCTCTGTGTTCTACAGGGTGTGAGCTCGGTGAAGCACTTCTCCTCCGCGAAGCCCTTCGCAACTGTTGAGGCTCTGGATCCTTCGTGGAGGCGGCCTGGGTTGTTCTTCGCGAGGGCTTCGCTACGGGCTGGGTTGCCCTTCGTGGAGGCGCCTTTGTGGGCTCTAGGGCCCTACGCGAAGCCAAGGCGGGCTCTAGGGCCCTGTATGACTTATTATGGGTTGGGCTCTGGGGCCTCTGTAAACCGTATCGGTCTTCCATCAACTGCATGATTTGGTTAACCAGGTCGTCTGGGACGGTCTGCGCTGGTGTAGAGGGTGTCCTCTCTGTGATAGTGACGGGACCCTCAGTTATAATCTCCGGCGACAGCGTAGGCATCTCTGGTTGCGTGTTGATCTGCGCTGAAGTGACGGTAGCCGATACAGGTCGCTTCCTATGACGTGCATCTGGAATGATAATCGGAATGTCATCATCATATAAACACAATTCTGAAACAGGTAAAATGTCAGAAGCAAAGTTTTTAGTAGTCTTCGTGGATTTTACTTTTGACGAAGCTGTAGACCTGGGGGTTCGGAGCGTACGTTGAGACGACGTGGAGGCTCTTCTAGTCTTAGGCTGTGATGATGGAACGTCCTGGGATGCAGGTCGCTTCTTGGATATAGCGGACTGCGTCCCACGCTTATCCCCTTCAGGCGGAACACCAGACGGTAGAGGGTCGTCCGCTAACAGTTGACAGGGTATATCTGACTCTGACCTATTAGCCATGACTGAAGCTTGTTTCCGAGATCTATCTGCCGCCCGGCCTCAAGACGGAATATAAATATTTATCAAAGGCAGAATTAGACAAATTAATACATAATTTGCAGCGTGAAACAATAGAGCATGGAGTTATGCAGCTAAAGCATATTAAATGCGGATGGCAGCAGTGCGTAATTTACAAACAATGCAGATTTTTCATTAACGCGAAACTGCTGAGCAAACACGGCTTAACCGTGCATAAAGCAGCAGAAACACTAATAATTATCAATGCATGTTGAATAAGGATACTAGTTACACCTCTATAGATGAATATAAGAGGTACCAAACTAAATATAAATAAGGATATAGTGTGTAGGGAGACACAGGCGCTCTCACGTCCAGCTCACTGGGCGAAGAAGGAGAGAGTGAGGCACATGGTGGGAGGTGGCGCCCTCGTTCCCGCGTCTTACGAGGGGAAAGATAACTCAGGGTGAGTACTAATTAGTGATTTTACATTGAAGGGAACTTCAATTGGGAGATACAAGTGTTCCACTATGTTCGCAAAGAAGAAGACAAGCAAAAAAGCATGAGTCAGGATAAGGAAAAATTTACAATTTTGCTTGTAAAATCACCATGATTACAACTACTACTAATACCACTCCTCCCTTGTGCTGAGAGCTGGTACAAGTGTTTACTGTTGTATTAACAAGCCTGTTGACATACTTGAAACATTCTGAGTCAGAAGAACATTTGTTGCCATGAATATGATGAGAATGGTGTTATTGTAACACCACGCTCATACACTGAATGTGAACTTGTTGTACATTACAGGATAATAATCACACCATCAATGCATCACAATTGTTCTGGGGCATATGCCAGTACATTATTGACAAGACAGCTGCTTCTTGTTGCCTGTCTTTAACAGTATGATTGTTCCCACAGTTGTAAAGTAATACAGTACACCATGCTATACAGTCAAGACATACTTGAGGTTGCAGCTAAATAACGGAACACAATCTGTAAAATGTATACACTTTTAAACACCAGTGTTATATTTCTGACTTTAAAGGTTACAACACAAAATCAGAATCAACATAGCATGGGGCAAAGAATCAGGTACTGAGAATAACGGAGATCATTTGTGATTGAGGCCATCCTACTTTACAGCAGTTAACTTGTCAGTTTAATACATGTTTGCAAGCAGAAACATATATCTATTATCAGAGATGGCAAGACAGTCCTCAAGATAGTTGACACAAGACACCATTTAGAGAAGTTCATTGTTTCATAACCGACAATAAACAGAGGTACAATGGTACTCATTTTGCACTAATACTTTAACTGGAAGCCAGGAGTTGGCTTGGTTTGTTGTTTGTTGTTGCACGCAGCAACATTCCAGCTATATGGCGTTTGTCTGTGACTCTGTATAGCTGGAATATTGCTGCCTGCGGCATTAAACAACAAACAACAAACCAATCCAACTCCTGGCTTCTAGGGGAAAGTTGGACCTTGTTCATGTGTTTGGCTTTGTTGCAGTCAAATACTTCAAAGAAACCTACGATATGCTATAGCATTATCAACCTCTCTCAACACTGCGAAATATATGGCATGAGCATACATGGAAAAATTGTGATGCATTGATGGTGTGATTATTATCCTGCAATTGTATTTGCCACATCTGTCTCTTTAGAACCTGTGTAGTGCTAATGATTGACCATAAAAGGCTGACTGGTATACTGTTATCAGTAGAGGATGTAATGTGTACGCGAGACGGTCCCCCGTTACGCGTACAAGTGACTACCTGAGAGGGGGTCACTCATTTGCATGACTGCCTGATCACAGACAGGGAAATTCTGCATGTCACACTAAAAAGTGTCTAAAAGTGTTATTTATGAAAATAATTAAACAAACTTTGCTACAGTCATTGATAGATGTTTACACTATTGAATGACATGAATGAAAACGTAAAAAGAGAGAATTAAATAGTCAAATTTTGACAAAAAACATGCAAACTTTAAGCAAAATTTGACGATATTTAACAGCAAATTTCACCTATGTGCATATTTTTCAGAAACTTACATTTAGTATTTTCTGATAGCCAATTCATCGTAGATTCAAAATATATATGCAGCTTTCATATCAGTTGTGCTAGCTGGGCTGCCGTCGACCGGCGTCGTTGACAAATTATGCCTAAGGTTTAATCCAAAGTAATTTGTTGAAAATCTGGACAAGTTTCGAGTTTTGTTGAACAAATGCCATCGCTGGAAGCTCATAAAGATAACAAAGGTATGAGCTGATACTTGGTTAACGAAACGGTAATATTGTGACACTGACACTAGTGACAGTGCCCTTGGCAAAGTGTTGATTTACCATAAATTCATTAGTGCTGCATGCAGCGCTACATGAAATCCGAAAAATGCACCGATAAAGTGTACTACTTTCCGTGTCAGTTCTAATGATACATACAATGGCTGGTGCAAACGTGATACGGATGAGCACAACTTCAACACATGCGATGATCTGTAGGCTGCCATCTTGAAAATGTTGCCGGAAGTAGTATAACCCGAGAGTGGAGTGTGTATGTTCGATTAGACGAATTTTTCCAAGTGGAGTTCTGTTGAGGGTAATGGTGACTAAGGAACCACGTTTTAGACAATACCACAACGATCCGTAAAATCAGTATACCGAGCACAATGTCTCTTAGACGATTTTTACTTAAATGAAAACAAAGCGGGGCTGAGAATAACAAATTATTCGAATCTTGTGAAAGTGAAAACACGGCCCAACTTCCGGGAATGGTGTGACTCTTTGACAGTAGGGGACACGAAACTCCTGTGGCAGAGTTACAGAATCAAGTCTTTCTCAGTTGAATGTGACAGAAGTATTGGGTGACATCACTTCACTAATATATTTATTTTCTTAAGAATTTCCCCACAAACAGATTTCATTGGGAACAGACACAATGTCGAATATTGATCAGTATTATTAGAAACCATATAATAGGGCCTATCAGCTTCATTGCAAGCGTAACCTGTAGTGGGCTTTTCATATTCCAGAATGAATTGATGTGCATAACTGAGACACGATTCAAGAAAACTTCAATGATATATTAAGAAATTAAAAACAACAACCTCAGAACTTTCAAAAAACAACCCGCCCCATCCTCTCTCACTCTAAAACAAACTATCACTTTGTTCACAAGAAAATCTAAATGCAATAACAGACATACTGGATGAATAATGTAGTCTGAAAATAGAATTTGATATCTGTTCGTATCTACCTTTGTTTTCAGCTCTTATCCCCATCTAAATATCAAAATGTAAAGTAGATCTACCAAAATTATAACCATATATACACTGGATAAAATCAGTGATAAATATTCTTGAGTCAGATAGTCTCACCATGCTTGACAACTATTTGGGTGGACTGGTGTGTTAACAATGGACTGTTAGTGTTACATGCTGAGTTCCTGATGATACACAGACCTACACTATTTGTAGCACTAAGATTGCTTTGTGCAACTAAGCCCTGGATTTGTCTCTAAAACTGTCAAAGTATGCTGGTTTGTAAAACAGACATTATATTATCATCATTATTATTTACAGCTATTCAGGTGTGATGATTGTGTTATTGTCATGATGATATAATTCTGTTGTTTCAGGTGTTCCATGTTGCTGATGATGCGGAGCAGATACATGGTGTAGTTGCTGTCCATGCTGTAGACCATGTCCAACAACATGGAGTCACTGTGGTACGACCACTACCAGGGTGCAGTATACCCTCTGGATCTCCACGCTCAAGCCAACTGTGCCTGGTCCAAATCACCAAAGGGAAAAGTTCCGACACTCATTCACTTATGTGCTGCTTACATCGTCAAGGATTCCACCATGACATATCAAGCGGTCGAAGTGATGCCCCAGACATTATGTTTGCCTCTCATGCATGAAGCATTGCTTTGCAACCGTGACAGAGCAATTGAGGTACTTTTATCCCACTGGCCATTGTCAACCATGTCACTGTCAGGACTGGCACCTCCAGTGTTCACGTCACTGTTGCCGCTGTACAACTCTGTGTACCTGGCAGACATTGTGAGGCAAAGTCTTCGTTACACCACAACAATGGCCCACACATTCATAGAAAGTCTACGCAAAAGACAACCAACTAATCTAAGGTTCCTTGACCTGACTGGGTACCCTACAGGTAAGTCTTCCAATTCCATATATACTAACTAGGAATATTATTACTAAAACATGCTGACTTATTTTTATTTTAAAGGTCACATGCAACGTAAAACACAACTTTGCAGATTCTGATACCTTTCGGTATGGACTTACCGAAACAAAGCGTCAAAAATGCAAATTCAACTTATAAAGTTGATAAATAACGCGATGAAAAAAAACGCGCGAAATCGGAGTTCAAACGTTTCACTAATTTTCCCCAGACTTTTCTGGGGAATACGGGTTTCAACAGCTGGGCTGCGCTCATAGCACGTGCGCAGTGAAATAGGTTCAGCGCAACTTGGAAGCAGGCTGTCTGGTGAATACTCGGTGAAGGCTTTGGTGTGAGCTATTTTCCTAATGTTTTGTTGATATCTCACAGGCGCGAGCTTTTTGTATGTTATGACAGTAAATAAACTGTTTATATAATTTCATTTGTCTATTTCACCACACGTTCTTCTTACCGAGTCACTTTCTCAGTTCGATACTTAAAAGCAATGTCATTATTTATTTATTTATTTGACACAATTTCTAACTGTGATATAGATATGTTGCTGTCACAGACAAAACTCAATGTCTTGTTTTATTGACACCTGTGTGTCTGCCTGCCCGTCTGTTAATGACAATATTCAATACACAACTGCGATCACTGACCACATGCAATTTGAACTGAACACCAATCAGGCTATACACCATAAACAAAACGCATTGATTTATGGCCCGAGTTCGGTCTCTGTCACATTATGTAATTACACAGACAGGCAGGTGTGATACTTGAACACATGACATGTTATGATGTCTGTTGATTGCAAAATGTTATACACAAAAAATGAGCATGTATTTACAAAACCCAACTTTCTATATATACACACACAATGAACCGTGAAGGCGGCATCTGCTAATGAACCAGCCGTTACACTTGAGTGCACACCCACCCGCTCTGACTGGGTTCGGTATCCCGGCTGCTTCGTTTCGAGGGAGGTAAACCCAAGTACAAAATATTGCACTTTTGATTTGCGATTATACGCTTATAATTTTGTTTATTTGTTTTTTCATAATCAGCGATGCATATTATATGTCATGAAGAAGTGATAATTGTGTCTTAATTATGTTTGATTTTTTGGTTGCATGTGACCTTTAAGTATTTTGACAACCAGTAACTAATTGTACCAAGTCATGTGATCAGCAACTACCTGATCTTTCAAAATGGATACCCTCAAGTTGCTCAAAGATATTCCATTAGTATCTTGATCACTGTGAACTGTGTTCTAATTGGATGCCCTTCAAAAGAGTTAGTAAATATGATATCGAAATGTCCTAATAATGATATATATAATAACCATAAAATTGGTTATGATAGCAGTGATGTTTGCTGTTTCCTAGTTTCCCTGCCCATATGATCATGGTAAGTGATATGATCTATTTGTTTTTGCAGCGGAGGTGATTGTGTACTTTCTGGCGTCACATGTGATGCTGGCGTTCACAGAATCACAGCAGAACCAGCAGATCCGCCTGTACAATGACACCATCCCCAGCTATGACCGTCCAGACCTCCCAGCCCACATCGATCCTGTGCAGTCTTCACTTCCAGAAAACTGTAGTTCGTTCACTCTATCTTTCTGAGCATGTGTTTAAAAGAAATTGTTTGATGCTGTGATTTTAATATTTTTTGCTGATGCCTCAAGACCAACTGATGACACACACACAATATATCCATCCCCCTCCCCCAAAAAACTTCACCCTCCTCCTCCAAATATTTGTGATTGGTTGGGACACACACCCATCCCCCACCCCGATTTTGCTGTGTAATTTGTTTGATCCACCCACCATAGTTATGATAAATTTTGGAAAGGCCAACCTGTTACTGTGTTATTTTTGTTATTTGTTCCAGGTTGGTGTTAGCACTGTCAGTGCACCAATTGTTGTTGAAAATCTTGGTGTTATTTTGTCTTACTTTATACATATTTGGAAAGAATGCTTCGAGCAGACTGATCAGGTTTATTGTTATGTATTTTGTTTTGGAGGATATACATCAATGTTTACTCTCTAGATACTGCAAACACATGATAATGGATGAAAGAATGATGCAACAAATTAACTGGTCTTGTTGTTTTCAGGTATAATGATTAAACTTGATGCCTTTGTGACGTCAGAGTCTACTCACAGTGAGCTGTGTAAGGCCCTGAAGGTGTCCAGCTTCCCCCACAGTCGAGTCCGGCTGTGCATTGTCCGTCTCGGTGCTACGTGTCTTGGAGAAGCCAGACTCAGTATACTCCTCAAGGTCCTCATAGCTGAGGTGAGATGGTTATATCAGTTGTATATAACATAGCTGAGGTGAGATTGTTATATCAGTTGTATATAACATAGCTGAGGTGAGATTGTTATATCAGTTGTATATAACATAGCTGAGGTGAGGTGGTCATATCAGTTGTATATAACAGCTGAGGTGAGATGGTTATATCAGTTGTATATCACATAGCTGAGGTGAGATTGTCATATCAGTTGTATATAACATAGCTGAGGTGAGATTGTTATATCAGTTGTATATAACATAGCTGAGGTGAGGTGGTCATATCAGTTGTATATAACAGCTGAGGTGAGATGGTTATATCAGTTGTATATCACATAGCTGAGGTGAGATTGTCATATCAGTTGTATATAACATAGCTGAGGTGAGGTGGTTATATCAGTTGTATATCAAATAGCTGAGGTGAGATTGTTATATCAGTTGTATATCACATAGCTGAGGTGAGGTGGTCATATCAGTTGTATATCACATAGCTGAGGTGAGATGGTCATATCAGTTGTATATCACATAGCTGAGGTGAGATTGTTATATCAGTTGTATATAACATAGCTGAGGTGAGATGGTCATATCAGTTGTATATCACATAGCTGAGGTGAGATTGTTATATCAGTTGTATATAACATAGCTGAGGTGAGATGGTCATATCAGTTGTATATAACATAGCTTAGGTGAGATTGTTATATCAGTTGTATATAACATAGCTGAGGTGAGATGGTCATATCAGTTGTATATCACATAGCTGAGGTGAGATTGTTATATCAGTTGTATATAACATAGCTGAGGTGAGATGGTCATATCAGTTGTATATCACATAGCTGAGGTGAGATGGTCATATCAGTTGTATATCACATAGCTGAGGTGAGATTGTTATATCAGTTGTATATAACATAGCTGAGGTGAGATTGTTATATCAGTTGTATATAACATAGCTGAGGTGAGATTGTTATATCAGTTGTATATCACATAGCTGAGGTGAGATGGTCATATCAGTTGTATATAACATAGCTGAGGTGAGATGGTCTTATCAGTTGTATATCACATAGCTGAGGTGAGATTGTTATATCAGTTGTATATCACATAGCTGAGGTGAGATTGTTATATCAGTTGTATATAACATAGCTGAGGTGAGGTGGTCATATCAGTTGTATATAACATAGCTGAGGTGAGATGGTCATGTCAGTTGTATATAACATAGCTTAGGTGAGATTGTTATATCAGTTGTATATCACATAGCTGAGGTGAGATGGTCATATCAGTTGTATATAACATAGCTGAGGTGAGATGGTCATATCAGTTGTATATAACATAGCTGAGGTGAGATTGTTATATCAGTTGTATATCACATAGCTGAGGCTGAGGTGAGATGGTCATATCAGTTGTATATAACATAGCTGAGGTGAGATGGTCATATCAGTTGTATATCACATAGCTGAGGTGAGATTGTCATATCAGTTGTATATCCACATAGCTGAGGTGAGATGTTATATCAGTTGTATATAACATAGCTCGAGGTGAGATGTACATCAGCTGTATATAACACATAGCTGGTCATATCAGTTATATCATATCACATAGCTGAGATTGACATCAGTTGTTATATAAGCTGAGGTGAGATTGTATATCAGTTGTATAACATAGCTGAGGTGAGATTGTTATATCAGTTGTATATAACATAGCTGAGGTGAGATTGTTATATCAGTTGTATATCACATAGCTGAGGTGAGATGGTCATATCAGTTGTATATCACATAGCTGAGGTGAGATGGTTATATCAGTTGTATATCACATAGCTGAGGTGAGATTGTTATATCAGTTGTATATCACATAGCTGAGGTGAGATTGTTATATCAGTTGTATATAACATAGCTGAGGTGAGATGGTCATATCAGTTGTATATCACATAGCTGAGGTGAGATTGTTATATCAGTTGTATATCACATAGCTGAGGTGAGATGGTCATATCAGTTGTATATAACATAGCTGAGGTGAGATGGTCATATCAGTTGTATATAACATAGCTGAGGTGAGATTGTCATATCAGTTGTATATAACATAGCTGAGGTGAGATTGTTATATCAGTTGTATATCCACATAGCTGAGGTGAGATGTCATATCAGTTGTATATCACATAGCTGAGGTGAGATGGTCATATCAGTTGTATATAACATAGCTGAGGTGAGATGGTCATATCAGTTATATCAGTTGTATATAACATAGCTGAGGTGAGATGGTCATATCAGTTGTATATCACATAGCTGAGGTGAGATTGTTATATCAGTTGTATATAACATAGCTGAGGTGAGATATATCAGTTGTATATCCACATAGTGTGAGATGTCATAGCTGTATATAACATAGCTGAGGTGAGATGGTCATATCAGTTGTATATAACATAGCTGAGGTGAGATTGTTATATCAGTTGTATATAACATAGCTGAGGTGAGATGGTTATATCAGTTGTATATAACATAGCTGAGGTGAGATGGTCATATCAGTTGTATATCACATAGCTGAGGTGAGATGGTCATATCAGTTGTATATCACATAGCTGAGGTGAGATTGTCATATCAGTTGTATATCACATAGCTGAGGTGAGATGGTCATATCAGTTGTATATCACATAGCTGAGGTGAGATTGTCATATCAGTTGTATATCACATAGCTGAGGTGAGATGGTCATATCAGTTGTATATAACATAGCTGAGGTGAGATGTCATATCAGTTGTATATAACATAGCTGAGGTGAGATGTCATATCAGTTGTATATAACATAGCTGAGGTGAGATGTCATATCAGTTGTATATAACATAGCTGAGGTGAGATTGTTATATCAGTTGTATATAACATAGCTGAGGTGAGATTGTTATATCAGTTGTATATAACATAGCTGAGGTGAGATGGTCATATCAGTTGTATATAACATAGCTGAGGTGAGATGGTCATATCAGTTGTATATCACATAGCTGAGGTGAGATTGTTATATCAGTTGTATATAACATAGCTGAGGTGAGATTGTTATATCAGTTGTATATCACATAGCTGAGGTGAGATGGTCATATCAGTTGTATATAACATAGCTGAGGTGAGATGGTCATATCAGTTGTATATCACATAGCTGAGGTGAGATGTCATATCAGTTGTATATCACATAGCTGAGGTGAGATGTCATATCAGTTGTATATCACATAGCTGAGGTGAGATTGTTATATCAGTTGTATATAACATAGCTGAGGTGAGATTGTTATATCAGTTGTATATCACATAGCTGAGGTGAGATGGTCATATCAGTTGTATATCACATAGCTGAGGTGAGATGGTCATATCAGTTGTATATCACATAGCTGAGGTGAGATGGTCATATCAGTTGTATATCACATAGCTGAGGTGAGATTGTCATATCAGTTGTATATCACATAGCTGAGGTGAGATGGTCATATCAGTTGTATATCACATAGCTGAGGTGAGATGGTCATATCAGTTGTATATATCACATAGCTGAGGTGAGATGGTCATATCAGTTGTATATCACATAGCTGAGGTGAGATGTCATATCAGTTGTATATAACATAGCTGAGGTGAGATGTCATATCAGTTGTATATAACATAGCTGAGGTGAGATTGTTATATCAGTTGTATATCACATAGCTGAGGTGAGATGGTCATATCAGTTGTATATAACATAGCTGAGGTGAGATGGTCATATCAGTTGTATATCACATAGCTGAGGTGAGATGGTCATATCAGTTGTATATCACATAGCTGAGGTGAGATGTCATATCAGTTGTAAATAACATAGCTGAGGTGAGATTGTTATATCAGTTGTATATAACATAGCTGAGGTGAGGTGGTCATATCAGTTGTATATAACATAGCTGAGGTGAGATGGTCATGTCAGTTGTATATAACATAGCTTAGGTGAGATTGTTATATCAGTTGTATATCACATAGCTGAGGTGAGATGGTCATATTAGTTGTATATCACATAGCTGAGATGAGCTGGTCATATCAGTTGTATATAACATAGCTGAGGTGAGATTGTTATATCAGTTGTATATCACATAGCTGAGGTGAGGTGGTCATATCAGTTGTATATAACATAGCTGAGGTGAGATGTCATATCAGTTGTATATAACATAGCTGAGGTGAGGTGGTCATATCAGTTGTATATAACATAGCTGAGGTGAGATTGTTATATCAGTTGTATATAACATAGCTGAGGTGAGATTGTTATATCAGTTGTATATAACATAGCTGAGGTGAGATTGTTATATCAGTTGTATATAACAGCTGAGGTGAGGTGGTCATATCAGTTGTATGTAACATAGCTGAGGTGAGATTGTTATATCAGTTGTATATCACATAGCTGAGGTGAGATTGTTATATCAGTTGTATATAACATAGCTGAGGTGAGATTGTCATATCAGTTGTATATAACAGCTGAGGTGAGATGGTCATATCAGTTGTATATCACATAGCTGAGGTGAGATGTCATATTAGTTGTATATAACATAGCTGAGGTGAGATGTCATATCAGTTGTATATAACATAGCTGAGGTGAGATGTCATATCAGTTGTATATAACATAGCTGAGGTGAGATGGTCATATCAGTTGTATATCACATAGCTGAGGTGAGATGTCATATCAGTTGTATATAACATAGCTGAGGTGAGATGGTCATATCAGTTGTATATCACATAGCTGAGGTGAGATGTCATATCAGTTGTATATCACATAGCTGAGGTGAGATGTCATATCAGTTGTATATCACATAGCTGAGGTGAGATTGTTATATCAGTTGTATATAACATAACTGAGGTGAGATTGTTATATCAGTTGTATATAACATAGCTGAGGTGAGATGGTCATATCAGTTGTATATCACATAGCTGAGGTGAGATGGTCATATCAGTTGTATATCACATAGCTGAGGTGAGATTGTTATATCAGTTGTATATAGCATAGCTGAGGTGAGATTGTTATATCAGTTGTATATAACATAGCTGAGGTGAGATGGTCATATCAGTTGTATATTACATAGCTGAGGTGAGATGGTCATATCAGTTGTATATCACATAGCTGAGGTGAGATTGTTATATCAGTTTTATATCACAAAGCTGAGGTGAGATGGTCATATTAGTTGTATATCACATAGCTGAGGTGAGCTGGTCATATCAGTTGTATATCACATAGCTGAGGTGAGATGTCATATTAGTTGTATATAACATAGCTGAGGTGAGATGTCATATCAGTTGTATATAACATAGCTGAGGTGAGATGTCATATCAGTTGTATATAACATAGCTGAGGTGAGATGGTCATATCAGTTGTATATCACATAGCTGAGGTGAGATGTCATATCAGTTGTATATAACATAGCTGAGGTGAGATGGTCATATCAGTTGTATATCACATAGCTGAGGTGAGATTGTTATATCAGTTGTATATAACATAACTGAGGTGAGATTGTTATATCAGTTGTATATAACATAGCTGAGGTGAGATGGTCATATCAGTTGTATATCACATAGCTGAGGTGAGATGGTCATATCAGTTGTATATCACATAGCTGAGGTGAGATTGTTATATCAGTTGTATATAGCATAGCTGAGGTGAGATTGTTATATCAGTTGTATATAACATAGCTGAGGTGAGATGGTCATATCAGTTGTATATTACATAGCTGAGGTGAGATGGTCATATCAGTTGTATATCACATAGCTGAGGTGAGATTGTTATATCAGTTTTATATCACAAAGCTGAGGTGAGATGGTCATATTAGTTGTATATCACATAGCTGAGGTGAGCTGGTCATATCAGTTGTATATAACATAGCTGAGGTGAGATTGTTATATCAGTTGTATATCACATAGCTGAGGTGAGGTGGTCATATCAGTTGTATATAACATAGCTGAGGTGAGATGTCATATCAGTTGTATATAACATAGCTGAGGTGAGGTGGTCATATCAGTTGTATATAACATAGCTGAGGTGAGATTGTTATATCAGTTGTATATAACATAGCTGAGGTGAGATTGTTATATCAGTTGTATATAACAGCTGAGGTGAGGTGGTCATATCAGTTGTATAACATAGCTGAGGTGAGATTGTTATATCAGTTGTATATCACATAGCTGAGGTGAGATTGTTATATCAGTTGTATATAACATAGCTGAGGTGAGATTGTCATATCAGTTGTATATAACAGCTGAGGTGAGATGGTCATATCAGTTGTATATCACATAGCTGAGGTGAGATGTCATATTAGTTGTATATAACATAGCTGAGGTGAGATGTCATATCAGTTGTATATAACATAGCTGAGGTGAGATGTCATATCAGTTGTATATAACATAGCTGAGGTGAGATGGTCATATCAGTTGTATATCACATAGCTGAGGTGAGATGTCATATCAGTTGTATATAACATAGCTGAGGTGAGATGGTCATATCAGTTGTATATCACATAGCTGAGGTGAGATTGTTATATCAGTTGTATATAACATAACTGAGGTGAGATTGTTATATCAGTTGTATATAACATAGCTGAGGTGAGATGGTCATATCAGTTGTATATCACATAGCTGAGGTGAGATGGTCATATCAGTTGTATATCACATAGCTGAGGTGAGATTGTTATATCAGTTGTATATAGCATAGCTGAGGTGAGATTGTTATATCAGTTGTATATAACATAGCTGACATAGCTGAGGTGAGATGGTCATATCAGTTGTATATTACATAGCTGAGGTGTGAGATGGTCATATCAGTTGTATATCCACATAGCTGAGGTGAGATTGTTATATCAGTTTTATATCACATAGCAGAGGTGAGATTGTTATATCAGTTGTATATCACATAGCTGAGGTGAGATATCATATCAGTTGTATATCACATAGCTGAGGTGAGATGTCATATCAGTTGTATATCACATAGCTGAGGTGAGATGGTCATATCAGTTGTATATAACATAGCTGAGGTGAGATGGTCATATCAGTTGTATATCACATAGCTGAGGTGAGATGTCATATCAGTTGTATATCACATAGCTGAGGTGAGATGTCATATCAGTTGTATATAACATAGCTGAGGTGAGATGTCATATCAGTTGTATATAACATAGCTGAGGTGAGATGGTCATATCAGTTGTATATAACATAGCTGAGGTGAGATGTCATATCAGTTGTATATCACATAGCTGAGGTGAGATTGTTATATCAGTTGTATATAACATAGCTGAGGTGAGATTGTTATATCAGTTGTATATAACATAGCTGAGGTGAGATTGTTATATCAGTTGTATATAGCATAGCTGAGGTGAGATTGTTATATCAGTTGTATATAACATAGCTGAGGTGAGATGGTCATATCAGTTGTATATTACATAGCTGAGGTGAGATGGTCATATCAGTTGTATATCACATAGCTGAGGTGAGATTGTTATATCAGTTTTATATCACATAGCTGAGGTGAGATTGTTATATCAGTTGTATATCACATAGCTGAGGTGAGATATCATATCAGTTGTATATCACATAGCTGAGGTGAGATGTCATATCAGTTGTATATCACATAGCTGAGGTGAGATGGTCATATCAGTTGTATATAACATAGCTGAGGTGAGATGTCATATCAGTTGTATATAACATAGCTGAGGTGAGATGTCATATCAGTTGTATATAACATAGCTGAGGTGAGATGTCATATCAGTTGTATATAACATAGCTGAGGTGAGATGGTCATATCAGTTGTATATCACATAGCTGAGGTGAGATGTCATATCAGTTGTATATCACATAGCTGAGGTGAGATTGTTATATCAGTTGTATATAACATAGCTGAGGTGAGATTGTTATATCAGTTGTATATAACATAGCTGAGGTGAGATGGTCATATCAGTTGTATATAACATAGCTGAGGTGAGATGGTCATATCAGTTGTATATCACATAGCTGAGGTGAGATTGTTATATCAGTTGTATATAACATAGCTGAGGTGAGATTGTTATATCAGTTGTATATAACATAGCTGAGGTGAGATGTCATATCAGTTGTATATAACATAGCTGAGGTGAGCTGGTCATATCAGTTGTATATCACATAGCTGAGGTGAGATGGTCAATCAGTTGTATATCACATAGCTGAGGTGAGATGGTTATATCAGTTGTATATAACACAGCTGAGGTGAGATGGTTATATCAGTTGTATATAACATAGCTGAGGTGAGATGTTATATCAGTTGTATATCACATAGCTGAGGTGAGATGTCATATCAGTTGTATATCACATAGCTGAGGTGAGATTGTAATATCAGTTGTATATCACATAGCTGAGGTGAGATGTCATATCAGTTGTATATAACATAGCTGAGGTGAGATGTCATATCAGTTGTATATCACATGGCTGAGGTGAGGTGGTCATATCAGTTGTATATAACATGGCTGAGGTGAGATGTCATATCAGTTGTATATAACATAGCTGAGGTGAGATGTCATATCAGTTGTATATCACATAGCTGAGGTGAGGTGGTCATATCAGTTGTATATAACATAGCTGAGGTGAGATTGTTATATCAGTTGTATATAACATAGCTGAGGTGAGATTGTTATATCAGTTGTATATAACATAGCTGAGGTGAGATGGTCATATCAGTTGTATATAACATAGCTGAGGTGAGATGGTCATATCAGTTGTATATCACATAGCTGAGGTGAGATTGTTATATCAGTTGTATATAACATAGCTGAGGTGAGATTGTTATATCAGTTGTATATAACATAGCTGAGGTGAGATGTCATATCAGTTGTATATAACATAGCTGAGGTGAGCTGGTCATATCAGTTGTATATCACATAGCTGAGGTGAGATGGTCAATCAGTTGTATATCACATAGCTGAGGTGAGATGGTTATATCAGTTGTATATAACACAGCTGAGGTGAGATGGTTATATCAGTTGTATATAACATAGGTGAGGTGAGATTGTTATATCAGTTGTATATAACATAGCTGAGGTGAGGTGGTCATATCAGTTGTATATAACATAGCTGAGGTGAGATGGTCATATCAGTTGTATATCACATAGCTGAGGTGAGATTGTCATATCAGTTGTATATCACATGGTTGAGGTGAGATGTCATATCAGTTGTATATAACATAGCTGCGGTGAGGTGGTCATATCAGTTGTATATCACATAGCTGAGATGAGATGGTCATATCAGTTGTATATATCACATAGCTGAGGTGAGATGGTCATAACATTTGTATATCACATAGCTGAGGTGAGATGTCATATCAGTTGTATATAACATAGCTGAGGTGAGATGTCATATCAGTTGTATATCACATAGCTGAGGTGAGATGGTCATATCAGTTGTATATCACATAGCTGAGGTGAGATGTCATATCAGTTGTATATCACATAGCTGAGGTGAGATGGTCATATCAGTTGTATATCACATAGCTGAGGTGAGATGGTCATATCAGTTGTATATCACATAGCTGAGGTGAGATGTCATATCAGTTGTAAATAACATAGCTGAGGTGAGATGTCATATCTGTTGTATATCACATAGCTGAGGTGAGGTGGTCATATCAGTTGTATATAACATAGCTGAGGTGAGATGGTCATATCAGTTGTATATCACATAGCTGAGGTGAGATGGTCATATCAGTTGTATATCACATGGCCATCTCACCTCAGCTATATATACAACTGATATGACCATCTCACCATCAATTCATCCTGTATTTTCCTAGGCCTGCGTGAACTATATCTTGTTTTACTGTAATGGACTGTTTGTGTTGCAGTATGTGCAGGGTCTGCAGCTCAAGTACAATTCACTCACCATTGATGACATTGTCAAGCTAAGTCCAACATTCTCAAGCTTAGTCAACCTGACAGCCCTGGATCTGTCCTGCAACTCCATCTACTTCTACATGAGTGATACTGCCACTGACAGACTCTCCGAGACATTCACACACATGCCAAACCTGGCCAGGCTGGATCTCAGTAATAACAGAATCAAAACTAAGTTGCGAAGGCTTTTGTCTAACATTCCCAAGCCTCTCCAGTACTTACGAGTGGCAGCCTGTGGGCTGACAGTGTCTGACATCACTTACCTCTCTGTATCCCACCATGCAAGGGGCCTGTGTGAACTTGACCTCAGTGAGAATAGTCTAGGTCCCACATGCCGCAACCTCAGCAACCTGCTTGGTTCTTTAGCAAATACATTGCTAGTGTTTGAAGCAGAAGACTGTGGACTAATAGATGAACATTTTGAGTACTTACTACCTAGTTTGTCCTTGCTGAAGTATGTGCTGTTTCTGAACCTGGCTGAGAACCGTTTATCTCGAGAAGCTCTAGTTCAAGTCACACAAGCTGCAGCCCAGCTCCCGAAGTTGAAGGTGTTTCGGACTTCCTACCCAACAGACTGCTACCACCATGACTCAGAGGAAATCGAGGAGGAGGAGAGAATTACAACAGTTGCAAGATTACGAGATATTGTATCCAAGAATTCTGAATCCCGACCACAGACGGGGATCATGCAGCTAGTCGTCGTTGAGCTGGAGAGGATTTTCATGGACGAATCCTGAATGAATAGGTGATAATATGTTCAACCAGAAATGAACTCAACAATAGCCCAGAGTCCAGAAGTTGTGTTTAGGATTGTGGATAATATGTATTTCCCTTGATGGAATTACCAAATGGGTAGCAGCCTTGAACAGTATCTGTGTCATTTAACCTTTTGTTGGATTGCTCGAGTGGTATGTTTACATCCAGTGGACATCTTCTCAAGTGATCTGTGCACATGCTTTAAGCACCAATGGATGTGGTCTGTGTGCAAACATTAGGCGCCGACTTCTGAATTGGTCCATGTAGGTGTAGAAGACAACTTCAGAAGGGATAAAATCAATATCAGTCTATAAATCTTATAATAATAATAATAATAATATATAGAGATTTATATAGCGCCAATATCCAGATGAGTCCTGCTCAAAGGCGCTTTCATATGAGTCTGACAAGGAAAGAGTCACTTAGAACTGTAACATGATTTGAAAAAGAATGTTTTCAACATTCTCTTAAATGCACAGATTTTCTCTGCACTTTTAATGCCCAATGGGATGTTGTTCCAAAGCATAGGACCTGCTTTTGAGAAACATCTGTCTCCAAATGTCTTTGTCCTCGTACGTGGCACAACTAGTAACTGGGCACTACTAGAACGTAGGGAACGGGAGGGTTGATGGCACTGGATCAGTTCGTTGATGTATGATGGGCCAATACCGTGAAAAGCTTTGTATACAAGCACAAGAATCTTAAATTCTATCCGTTTGACTATTGGGAACCAATGCAGATGCATTATCAATATCATGCCACTTTACTTGAGAATGTTGATATGCGGTTGAACAGTTTGCTGATGAACAGGTCAAGAGTTGAAATATTTTCCACTGTGAAATATTGGTAGTATCCCTTGTCACAACTGTAATCTACAAGCGATACCCTTATGTACTGTTGGAACTGCTCAAGCCACACAATTTCAGGGCTGATGTCAGTGATGACCTCATTCTAGGTCAAGGTCACAGAAACATGCCGACCTACAAATTGTCAGTCAACAATGGACCTGCTAATTCTCCATTTCAAGAAAATGTTTACTATTAACATCAAATTTTTTTAATTGATGTTAATCAGTGAAGTTGCTTCTCTACTCATGCTGACTTTGAAAAAATGAAGTTTGCTAATATTTGATTTCTGTCAACATTAAATAACAGTTTAAAGATGAAGGATATAATGTGCTTGATTAATGGCTGAGGATGCTTTTGACCAACTTTGTGTAAGTCACATAAGGCAGTGCATATAATAGTGTATTTTAGATTTACAGCAAATGTGTTATTCGATTGATTCACTAATATTTGTGCTGTTAAATGTTTCCTGATTGAAATTCTACAGAATTAACTAGAAATCATCCGAGTTAGGTTCTGATAAAATGTATTGTTTACCAGTAACAGTTCCCTGAAAGGAATGTTAGTAAAATCTGAATTTACATTTATTTTCAACTATATTTTTTAACATATTTGTAAATATTTCCAAACAAATGTCTGTAAAATATTTTCCAAATTACATTTGAAATGTATATATGAGAACATACATTTAAGTTATTTGTATATAATTGTGTTCATTTCACTTTGTATTGCTTGTTGCCCCCTTGTAACTAAAATACAAAACCAGGAAACTCTCCTTACTTGTCATATGTATGGGTACTGACCAACTGAAGAAATCTAACATCACATGTTGTCTGTTGTTATGTAACAAGAAACATTCTTTGGACAAGAACACCAGTTCAAGGAAATTGTAGACATCTCATATCTCACAGTGGATTCAAGACCATGCCACAGACAAATGCCTTTACTCACCCAGTCCCAGTTAATTTTGGAAAAATATTTCAACCTGAAGAAGAGAAGTCATGTTATGCCTCCATGCACGTGCATTTCTGTCTCTTTAAAGAGTGTAGAATTCACCGGTATCCTTGTATTCTGTGGCATGTTTTAGTTACTGTAGATTCTTATTAAACTTCAACAAGGTGTTTCTCATTTATCGTAGAGTGAAGCATCCCAGCCCATATATTCCAAAATACAAGTCTTGATATTCTGCAACACTGGCAATGTATAATAAATCCAGAAACATGCAATCCAGGCTTTTGGAATGCTTGTCAGATGCCATTCATCACAGTCACCATCGACTTGTGGCTGCTTCGTACATGAAGGGCATGTACAGCAAGTTTTTATGACCTGGTGACATCATATAAAACAGCAGAATTAATTCGTTGATAAGTTATCCCAACACGATTCGGTAACGTCATCACGCACAGCTGTTAAATTGACACCGACGTTGTCAAAACAATTGAACTGACAACATCTAGACGTTTCCTCGACAAAATGATCATAATCACAAAGCAGTAGTAAGCCTTCTGAATGACTGCCATTGCAACTTTCACAAAAGAACAGTACTTAGACAGGAATCGAAAATGTTTTCAAAACAATGAAGAAATATATTAGCTTACCTGATTGAAATGCAAATGCTATCTCACAGTCTGATTGTCTCTGACATCAGCTGATTTTTGACGTTTTCCATCTCTGAGATCTTCAGTTTGGAGAACACCATAAGGCGTAAGCAATGGTAAGCCTTCTGGGTGCGTGCCACAGCAACTTTCACAAAAGAACAGTACTTAGACGGGAATCGAAAATGTTTTCAAAAGAATGAAGAAATATATTAGCTTACCTGATTGAAATGCAAATGCTATCTCATCAGTACTAGTGTGTACAGTTCCGATATATGGCTCACGAAAGCAATGAATCCGACTGCCGTGCTCAGTGCAAACAGTCTGATTGTCTCTGACGTCAGCTGATTGTTGACGTTTTCCGTCTATGAGGTCATCAGTTTGGAGAACACCATAAGGCGTGACGTAGCTCAATTGTCGAGTCCGTTTGAGTCAGAAACGGACCGATGAATTGCAAATTTTATCATTGTACAAAATTGCCACATAAATATAAATAGTACACATGTTTATCATTTACTAATACCCAACAGCTTTCTTATATTTGAAAATTTTCCGGACTCCACCAAAAAAGTTCTTTAAGAAACTATCATCATTGAAAACGCAAAAGTTGTTATCTGTCGCGGCGGGGTGAAACCGCAGAAACGGAACAGCCACTATCTCGTCGTGCACGGGATACACATGCCTGATGAAAAATGAAGTTGAATGCTGACGTGAAACAGTTGATGATTAAAGTGTACGATTTTTTCCGTGCTGAAGCCGAAAGGGGCAAACCATTTTATGCCATTAATAAATTCCGTAAGCGGGCAGCAAAAGCTTTAGGAGTATCAGCAAGGGTACTGACAAATGTTCTGGAACACAAACATTGTGAGGGTGATGCGAAGCAGGTAGGGGTCGTGTCAAAATCACACAAATTAAAACATTTGGACAACTTTCAAAAGAACCTTGTAAGGCAGTCTATCAACAAGCTCTATTCTGAAAACAAATACATGTCGCTGAAAATTTTAAAAAGCATTTGAAGCAAGAACACAACCTCAGAGTATCAAAGTACACACTCTGGCGACTCTTACACTCTTTCGGGTATCGTTATAAGAAAATTTCGGGGGAGAATAGGTCAGTACTCTGTGAACGCCCTGATATCGTTCGCTTGAGAAATAATTTTCTCAGGGTTATAAAGAAGAAGCGCGAGGAAGGGTTCGAGCCAGTGTACTTGGACGAGACCTGGGTCAATGCCTCGCACACTGCCAGCAGTCAGTGGGTACCCGATGGGGGTGATAAGGGGTCACGTAGAAAGCTGCCTCTAGGGAAAGGAGAGAGACTAATCATTCTCCATGCTGGTTGCTCCAGCAAAGGCTTTCTCCCAGGCTGCGACTTGGTATTCAGGGCAAAGTCCACAGATAACAGAGACTACCATTCCGAGATGAATGGTGCGGTTTTCCTCGATTGGGTTAAAAACAAGTTGGTACCAGCTCTACCAGAGAAGTCTTTTATCGTAATGGACAATGCCCCATACCACAGCGTGCAGGACCCCGACAGTAAAGCCCCGACATCGAACAGTCGAAAAGGTGATATGATATCATGGCTCGACAAATTTCAGATCGCACGGCCTTCAAAGGCAACGAAGCCTCAGCTATATGAGATCATAAAAACCCACAAAGGTGAACCTTTCTACAAAGTTGACAGTTACATAAAAAGTAAGGGTCACGATATTCTGCGACTTCCACCCTATCACTGTGACCTTAACCCCATTGAAATGATATGGGGTATTGTCAAAGGAGATGTTGCCAGATCAAACACAACTTTTAGATTACGTGACGTAGAGGTTTTGGTTAAGGAATCCCTTAACAAAATCACGACTGAAACTTGGCAAAACTGTGTCAACAAGGTAGCTAACGTCATTGAACAAGGTTACTGGTCTCGGGATGGCTTACAACAGGCAACTGTGGCACCACTTGTCATCCCTTTAAGTCGTGACTATGACACTACGACAGACGAGGAACCGACAGGTCTCCCGGAATAGATTTTGAGATGTCCCCCGCCATGACTGGCTGTTCCGTTTCTGCGGTTTCACCCCGCCGCGACAGATAACAACTTTTGCGTTTTCAATGATGATAGTTTCTTAAAAGAACTGGAAAATTTTTTTTGGTGGAGTCGGAAAATTTTCAAATATAAGAAAGCTGTTGGGTATTAGTAAATGATAAACATGTGTACTATTTATATTTATGTGGCAATTTTGTACAATGATAAAATTTGCAATTCATCGGTCCGTTTCTGACTCAAACGGAATGAACGCAGTGTTTCTGCCCCTTTGTGTTGCGTTTACTGCAGGCGGCTAAAAGGTACAGGCAGAATGTAGAACTCATCAACAAGTAGTTCCTGGAAACGCAATGCAGAACTGAGAGAACACTGACATGCCTCTTCAACATGCATCAACTCACCAACGAATCGCCAGGTGCAGGTTTATCACTGACGCCGACGTTGTCAAAACAATTGAAATGACAACATTTAGACGTATTCACGACAAATTAATTATCACCACAAAGCAGTAGTAAGCCTTCTGAATGACTGCAATTGCAACTTTCACAAAAGAACAGTACTTAGACGGGAATTGAAAATGTTTGTTTTCAAAACAATGAAGAAATATTTAGCTTACTTGATTGAAACGCAAATGCTATCTCATCATTTCTATTGTGAACAGTTCCGATACATGGCTCCCGAAAGCAATGAATCCGACTGCCGTGCTCAGTGCAAACAGTCTGATTGTCTCTGACGTCAGCTGATTGTTGACGTTTTCCGTCTATGAGGTCATCAGTTTGGAGAACACCACAAGGCGTGACGTAGCTCCATTGTCGACGTCACTGATTTTCGCTTGGTGATCATATCATTGTTTCTAAGCCATTTCCGGCCGAATGGATGTCCTTTTAATCTCGTTCTTGATCTCACATCTAAGTGCGGCATACAGGATCTCACATGAACGCAGTGTTTCTGCCCCTTTGTGTTGTGTTTAGTGCAGGCGGCTAAAAGGTACAGGCAGAATGTAGAACTTATCAACAAGTAGTTCCTGGAAACGCTAATGCAGAACTGAGAGAACACTGACCTGCCTCTTCAACGTGCATCAACTCATGAATGAATTGTCTTTAAGGTCCCTATGGTGGCCAACAAAATGTAATTTGCAAGAATTACTACTAGACTGAATTAGCTTCATTCAAGCAACCCGTGAAGGTCCGGGTTAGAAAGATGCTTGTAAAAGGCGACTAACGGGATCGGGTGGTCAGGCTGGCTGGCTTGGTTGTCACATGTCATCGGTTCCTAATTGCGCAGATCGATGCTCATGCTGTTGATCACTGGAATGTCAGGTCCAGACTCGATTGTTTACAGATCGCCATATAGCTGTAGTGAGTGAGTGAGTGAGTTTGGTTTTACGCCGCTTTTAGCATTATTCCAGCAATATCACGGCAGGGGACACCAGAAATGGGCTTCACACGTTGTACCCATGTGGGGAATCGAACCCGGGTCTTCGGCGTGACGAGCGAACGCTTTAACCACCAGGCTACCCCACCGCCCCCGATATAGCTGGAATTTTGCTGAGTGCGGCGCAAACCTAAACTCACTCACTCATTCAAGCACGTCACACTCTGTCACTGAAGTCCAAAGTAATCTTTGATTCATCCGAAAACGTACCGTTTGCCCTTCGACGATTGACACGAACGACGTCTTGCAGCAACGTGACGGTCCGTCAATCGATGGATAACACGTCGTGGACGTGAAGCGTGCAGGTAACATCAGTGTAGTCGATTACGAACTGTATGTCCACCCTCTCTAACAGTTATACCTCTGTGCAGCTCATCTACAGTTTGAGAGGCACGTTGACCACGATTTCGTGACACAGACGTTCTGATGAAACGGTCTTGTGCGCCAGACAAATATTTGTCTGTCGACATCGGGATTGTAATCTGAGAATTACTGACCGTGGAACGTTAAGGGCTGGTGCCACGATGCCCTGTCCAGTTCCATTTTCCAACATGCCAGTTGTACGTATCCGCCACGTGTCAAAAACGTGTAATTAAGTTCAAAATAATGTTTGTTTTTAGTCTGCTTTAGCACTGAAATGTACAGCAACACACTGCCACGTTTTGCTGTTAATTAGAATTGTTACTAAGACTGTGTGTTGACGTGACTTCTAACTTTTATGTTGTGTACATTCTCCTGCATACCACCCTGTCAAATGTTTAATAATATATATCAGACTCCGATGAAATGTCATATTTCAAGGAAATAAAGAGCTGAATTGAATTCAAAGTGCGCTGTTACGACGTAAATTGTAATAAAAACGCAAATTGTAATACTTGCAGCAAATTGTAATAAATTTGACGTAAATTGTAATACAAACGTAAATTGTAATAAAAATTGACGTAAATTATAATACGCAAATTGTAATAAAAATATTACAATTTGCGTTTTTATTACAATTTACGTCGTAACAGTGCACTTTTTGAAAAACGATTGCACGAAATTGTTTGTACAAAATTCATAATAATGGAATAATCATGTTCTAAATCCATATACAATCATCCTTGATTCCCACATAATATCACCCACAAATGAAATATACCCCCTCTTGTTTTAATCGTGTATCGAATGCTCTATGTGACCATGCGAGGTGTAAATCTGGCAACACGTCCAGGTGTGTTTTCACAACACGAAATCACCATTTACGTTTTAACAGTGAAAAAAGGCGTTCCAACAATATCAGCATCTCAAAGTATCAAAGTACTGGTGATGACAGTATTGCTGTATTGTGCACAGTTGTTATATTTAATTTATCATGTGTGATGATGAATAGTGGATAATAGCTGATGGCAACCTAAAGTGTCTGTATCAGTGTGATACAGGAATAGTATACTGTTTGATAACACATGGTCCTATTATTATAAATATAATCCTTAAAGACACTTTGTTAGAAGTCACCGTCATTATCATAGACCCGTGAAGATCCGGGTTAAATTGATCTTCAGCAACCCATGCTTGTCGTAACGGGATCGGGTGGTCAGACTCGCTGACTTGGTTGACACGACACAGTGGTGTCATCGTATCCCATCGATGCTCGTTCTGTTGATCACTGGATTGTCTGATCCAGACTCGATTATATATAGACCGCCGTCATATAGCTGGACAAATATTGAGTGCAGCTTTAACCAATACACACTCACACACACACGCACGCACACATGCGCGCGCATAGATTGTCTTCTTGCCACCCGCATCGCCCCTGTTACAAAAACCCCTTACGTATACTACTCTTATTTCCATCCTCGATTTAGAACCGTATTTTAGTAAGCTCATATATATAGACAGATGGAATAATATGCCCTTAATAGAACGAACATGTAACCTATGTCAGAAGAACTGCATTGGCGATGAATACCATGCACTCCTGTGTTGCGATTATTTTAGCGAATATGAAAAAGATGGTGTCACCATACTTTTATGTTTATCCAAACGAGTTAAAATTTGGTACTCAATTTAAAAGTAAGAACATATATGTACTTAGAAAGCTAAGTAAGCTCTGTTCTCTCCTGAATGCTAATCTACAAGTGCTCTAGATAAGCAAATATACTCTCATCTACCTTGTACATAATGTGTTTGAGTTAGTATACATGTACATGTACATAAATATAGTCAATTGTTATACCAAAATGCATGTATTTTGAATACTATTGTACACTGAACTTCAGATACCTGGAAGAGGCCTGGAAGTAATAAATATTCGGTTCTGATCTGGATAGTAGACTGGCTCCACCCCAATTCTCTTGTTAATGAGGGTGCAGGTGCGCTTGTACACATTGCTCGCTCACGCTGTGCATTAATTACCATCATCTCTCGACTTTACTTACTTATAAAATAAATTTGATGGAATTTGATGCAATATACCAATGAGTACCTAAGAAACATTTGTCAAGTAGTAGAAACACACCCATCATAATTATATGTTAACTAAACAAACAAAGGACAAGTCAGAAAAACAATTCCAATCCAATTGTGATCAACGGGTGAAAACGGTATTGATTCCCTTACTCATTGTGGCTTTCGCGGTGATTCGCGGCACCGAGGTTTGTACTTGAAATGTGGCTTTAGCGGCAAATGGTATTTTTCAAATGTGGCTTTCCCGGGCGGACACCGCTGAAGACAGATTATTAAAGTTCACTAATGTGAAGATGTATTTTTGTTTCTTGGATGATTCCATTTTTACAAAGGTGTTGCAAAGGTAGTTGTTGGTGCAGTCAACCATACCTAATGCTGTTTTAACCCCTATGACTAGTGGGACGTATGACTAATGGGAGGACACCAGATTGCCCGTACACGAAGCTAGAAAGCTGCTTTATATTGGTTTTGGTTTTCTTCACATCAATTAGAACACGTAATGGCACATAAAATGTGGCACACCTATTGAAATGAATGAAAAGGATATGTAGAGAAATGGAATGGAATGTCATTTATAAGTAAACGTCAAGCGAGCGATTGGGCAAGTCTGCATTGCATCAGCTCTAAAATTGATATCTGACATTAAGCATTGTTCCATTTCAATTAGAGTTTATGATGACTTTATTTTGAGGACATACTGTTTAAAATAACATATCTATATTTCCGTGACTAAACGTTAGTTAGACTAAAACTATATATAGTTCGCCTGGCCTGGCTTCGATTTGCGCAGCCACTTAGGGCATGTAATTCTGGTGGAAATGACGGAGACCCACGTGTCATCAAATCTCCGCGCAGCGTCAAAACGAAGTGATCGCAGTTGTTTTACTTCACCCGCGGTGCTGTGGCGAGTTTCGAACATGCGCGCCAAGTGGATAGTGTTGCGAAAGGGACATGCAATCACCAACTGGCCACATCACTGTGCAAATATGTGACATGTTTGTAATTGAGAAGTCGAAGATAATCGGAACATGCAGACCGAAGTGAAATGTACTTGTCTTCCTGATATTGGAAGAGTGCATTGCAGTAGACGAAATCGAACGTGATGATATGTAGATTATTGCTTGTATTATATAAACGTTATCAGTTTTATTTTTGAACACGAGTCAGTTCGTAGATGAGAAGACTTTTTGTTCTGTTATTCAAATCGTGGCGAAACAAACCCCACGGTCTCTGTTTTTACAGTCAATCGATTGATGGAAATGCTTGGAGGTTGTTTACAATATTAGTTCGTCAAGTTTCCAGCAGATGTCGTGGCGAAGATTGACCAATCAACGTACAGCAAGTGACAGCCTGGCGGTTTTTACGATTGTGGGAACCGCCTTCACACGGATTTGCGCCAGAAGATTTTTTTGTGGGGATCAGCCGACACGATCGAAAAAAACCAAAACGTCATCAGGAACGTCATCTAAACGATTTGAAGAAATGTTGGGGACGTTCGAAAACTTCAGAAATATGAAATTAAAGACACCTGTACAAGGTGAGTGTTTTTTGTGTGTAGGTGAAGGCCTGAAATCGTTGAAACTAAAGACCAGTTGATTGTGTATCATATGTTTAATTTCTATAATAATTATTAGGTGCGGGTGCATTTTCATAATATCCTAAATTAAAAGAAAACAGATTTTCTTTATAATGCTGAAATGATGGTCGGAATGAATTTTATGCTGATGTGATATAGAGCATGCATGTACGTTTGGTGCTGCAGATGACTACATCAGGGATGTGCAAAAGGAGTTCTCTGTGTCTCCAGATCAGAAAAACTTTACGGTAATTTTGTTTCCATGCCTGATGAACTTAATGAAATTGGTCATTGGGAAAGACTGAATCCCCGCTAAAATTTCATTCTAGTGAAATCATATCACCTGATATATATTCCTCATCTGATAAGGATGAGTTTTAACATGTTTCTTTAATTGTATCTGATCATTCTGAAAGACATATCCAACTTCTAAAAATGCCATTCAAAGAAATGTTTCCTCAACCAGGGATTGGGAAAGACAGGGACCATGGGCCATTTTGCACATAAGAATAAAACAATGGCCCATTTAAATTGAAGTTTACTATTGATACAAGGGCAGTGGACGATTCTAAATTCAGAAAATGGATAATAATCCTGAAAATAGCCCATTGTCAAAGTTCTCTATCCCAATCGGCCTACCTTTAGAATACAGCACCACAAACTTTAAAAATACGTCATAATACCCTTTTACGTAATGTAATGTGTTTTGTTCGAAAGCACGTTCTCGAAACAATGCCCTATGACGCCTGCATGGCAACGCGGTTGTCTGGCTCAGCGAGTGTGTATAAGCTCCGCTCACTGGTGTTTCATCTCTACGAGCTATGTCATTGCATAAGCCCAACAATGTTGAGAGTTTCCAGTAGCGCAATATTTTGCAAGCACCAGTTTGAAATATTTTTCTTTTTTCACTAATACACTCATATTTATTTGTATTACGGGCTGCTGAGGTGTTATGTTTTGTGTATTTTGTAAGTTTTTAAATTTACATATATATATTTGTCATTCAGTAATTTGCACCATCTACATAGAAAAGTGTTTTATTAGTATTTTATTTTTCGAAGCGGTAATAATGCATTACACTAGCCACGTCAGTCGTGTTTGTGCCGGTTCGGTCAATGCATTCTATTTATTAGGATTAATTCAAGGGGCTAGGGTTTAGGGGTTAGGGTTGGGTTTGGGGACCTAATGCAATATAGTAGGTACATGTCCGGTGGTTCGGTCAATGCATTCTATTTATTAGGATTATTTCAAGGGGTTAGGGCTGAGGGTTTAGGGTTAGGGTTAGGTAGTAGGTACATGTCCGGTGTAATACATGAGTACCATTTGTTGTTTTTCCTTTTTTGCATTTTAATACGTTTTTTTCACACAAAAACAGGAAACCAAAAACGTCGAAAGTTCATTAAGAAATGGGTTAATGTAGAAATTTTGGGCTAATGGAAATTGGCCTGGAATTTGCACTGAAGCCTCTTTCACATGCAACATAAATTTTGTAAAGTAATGATTCGAAGGCTAACTCACCCTCGTGTCGTCACTACACATGCTCATGTCTCCCCCGTTCCTTTGTGCGATCCACATTATCCTTACAGTGTTCCCTACATCACTTTTCTGTCACAAAATCACCGATTTATATAAAAGCGCGTCATTCATGCATGCACTGTGAAATCTACGTCTGACGCCTGACGTCAACAACCCTTTTCAGTTTGAGGCATATCGGCTCATTCCACGCCACACGTTAATTTGTAGATTACAGAATGGGACGAGTGTGCCACATGGCATCGGATGCATTCGGCAATTGTCCGTAGAATAAAATCAAGAGACACCAAGTCTACCCGTATCATTCGTAATTGTCCGTGACCTATTCGACTCTTTCCGTTTATTTCCGTGACGTCACAGGAATGACTCGATAAATTTGCACATTGTGCAACAGTGTGGACGTAGCTCAGTCGGTTAGCTGTCGAGCTAACAATCCGAAGGTCGTGGGTTCGCGTCCGACGGGTTCACACAAACTGGTTGCTTGTCTTAACACACGTGACCTATGGCAGAGATCGTCCTCACGAGAAGTTGTGGTGCTGTATTCTAAAGGTGCTCCCCAATCCCTGCTCATTGTTAAAATTTAGGGGGGATACAGGCGGAAGTCTTACCCAAATGTCATCACTGTCTCTCTAGTGTCACATTATGAATTTATGAATTTTTAGAAAGTGTTTCTCTTGATCTAGAACAAATGAAAATGTCAGAACAAAACCCCATACCATATAGATTCTTAAATGTAATAACCATTCTGAAAGGGTTAAAATTACACTATTTTTTACCTGACTTTACTCTTTTGTTTAACCTTCTGTTTTCTGAGAATACAAAGCTTCAGGTAGGGTTGCTCTGCAAAGAATACTTTCATTGTTTAGATCACTGAAGCTTTCCGTATTTACCTGCTGTCAGACTATTTACTGTTGCTGTAGATGTTGAGATATTGAGGGGCTCCAGATAATTTTTCAACATCAGGAGTACATACTCCTTCTTTTTTCAATACAGGAGTACTGGAAAACCTTAGAGTACTGAATGGAATTTAATGGAGTATCAGTAATCTTGTGTTTCGTTTCATGTATACATGCACCACAACATTGCTACTATTGTGTAAACAGGTTAACAAACAATAAAACAATACTTTTTCAGATAAATATGTCTGTAAATGATTCTTAGACTGTACACCATTGCTATAGTACGTATCTGCTACATTTTCTAAAGTATTTCCTACCATATCGTGCATATTTTTTATCCGTACATACGCTGATACAGCCCTTATCTGGAGCCCTGTTCTAGCAATGCCGTTTGTGGCACCAAATGTGACTGGCATGTTGATGATGGCATGTTGACAGGTTTCTGTGGAGGGGAACATTGGATGTGGGAAAACTACACTCCTGGAATACTTCCAGCAATCCGACAGTGTCCAGGTGAGCTATTCCAAGAATTATCCTGGGTCAGGTTCTGCATGTAAAACAAAGCACTGTTTAACTTCTTTGAGAGTCATTTTAGAAGTTGTATAGATGAAGAAAAACAAAGTTCTATGAATGGTCAACTTCTTTATTGCAATGAGTGCGACGTTTCGGAGTAGGTACTAACACCGTTATCATGCTTGATAACAGTGTTAGTACCTACACCGTAACATCACACTCATTGCAAAACACTGTTCAGTATTGACAGGGAACTAAGCAGTGCTGCAGTAATTTATTTACCTGGACAGGTGCTTGTCAGAGTTTAGGACAGTCACTGCATGCATGGTTTCATATGAACATTTTGGTATTATTGACATTTGTGTTTACAGCAGCAAAGAAAACTCTGCTCACTGGTGTCGTGAAAATGTCCATTTTAGTTGCATCAGAAGTAGTGATTGTCAACAAATACAAAACATGCTGACATGGCATCATTGAAAACTTTACAATCTTTCTTGGTTGACTAAGCCTCTCTTTGAATGACAGGGCACTTCCTGGTATTGTTTCAAAATAAGTTGGAGACTGGTATTCAGACTGCTACTGTAACCCATTATTATATCTATTTTACCTTATCCTGGTATTCAGACTGCTACTGTAACCCATTATTATATCTATTTTACCTTATCCTGGTATTCAGACTGCTACTGTAACCCATTATTATATCTATTTTACCTTATCCTGACTCATACTACTATTTTCGCTAGAGTCGGGATAAGTATAAATGATATTTTTATCCCCCAAAATTAAATTTTGGTATTCTAAGTGTACCTTACACAATTTCAGGGTTAGCTTATTTGGGATATGTTTCAAAATAAGATATTTGTACAAAGATGTATGACATGACAGACACATGGAAATGTTTGTAAGGACAAATTTGATGCACTGTATGGGATACCATGGGATTCAAGCTGAAAGGATGTTATTAATCTATCTTAGTGAAAACATCTTTGGGTGGCATTTGGAAGTTGGTGTAATGAACAATGGGGATACAACTTCTATATTATTAATAAGAGCAACATTTTGGTGTAGCAACTACAGGCCGTCTGGGTTCAAATAATACGATGAATGACTAAACATGTTAAATAACTGGAAATAGGGATGCGTGCACAAAACATAACCATGATAAATAGGACACATGGTCATGAAACCTCTGTACAAAACAGGATCTGAAATCTGACGTTTTGTGATCAATCACAGAAGAGTTGTTTAAGAAACTATAATGTAGTATTGTTCTATTTCATGCTTCATACCAAGGCGCATGTTTTTTGTTGTTGGTGAGTTGTCAATGTGTGGGTGTTTCAGGCACTACAAGAGCCAGTGGAGCAGTGGACCAATATACAGGGACATAATGCCTTGGTGAGTCACATCAACTCCACTTCAGTGTTGGAATCAAAGCATCTTTCTGGTAACCTGAGATTGAATATGTATTCATTACAGTATCAGGGATTCTAATACTACAGCAGCAAACTGTCTGGAGAGCATTGAATACGTCAAGGTTATTTATGATATGGCAGGAATATATGTAGGATTATATATGATGTGCCTTTGGCACATTGGAAAAAAATATTACACTTCAAATTTATATTTCTGTTTTAATGCTCATTTTTCCATAAATTCTGAGAATGTAGGAAATTGTAATGTCCATTTTTGCAAGTTTGAATCTCATTTGCTGCAGGCTTGAGGCCTGAATGCTGGCATTACAGCAGGTCTATAGGACTTTCTATATGGTTATCATGAAAGTGCATATGCAAGACTGAAGTAAGCATAGTGATGAAATGATTGTGTGTATTTCTGTGTCATACATAGTTTACTTAATTTCTAATAAATGATAATTGTTACAGGGTCTATTGTATGAAGATCCTTCAAGATGGAGCTTCTCCTTCAATATGTATGCTCAACTGACCCGCATCAAGATGCACACTAAGCCTCACGTAAGTCGGCTTGTTGAGCTGACCAAAGCAGGTTATGCTCAGCCTGCAGTCATGAATCCCAATATTTGACCAATTATATTCAGAAAGATCTTATGCTTTGCTTGAAAGTGTGTTTCAAACAACAATAAACCTGTTAGGAGTTACAAACAATTCTTGTGTTGCCACCGTCTTGATAATTTCCTGTGTGGTTGAAAACAAATGTTAATATTTGAAAAGCCAGATTTTGTTGTTCAGTGTCTGAGACAGTCCTAGGCATTCTGTTGTGAGTAGATGCACCAGTAGCAATGTAGGACTGATGATGTTTTCAGACCAAACCCATCAAGATGTTGGAGCGTTCCCTGTACAGCACCCGCTACTGCTTCGTGGAGAACAGCTACCGCAGGTCAGCTATGTCATGTTGTACATTCATAGTGGCTGTGTCACATTGCCTATAGATTCTATGCAAGTAATTTGTTGCAACAAACACATTGTCCTTTCTTTATTGACCCATGCTTTTAGTAACAGGTGACTAACAGAATCGGATGGTCAGGCTCACTGACTTGGATGACACATGTCATCATATCCCAGTTGAGTAGATCGATGCTGATGCTGTTGATCACTGGATTGTCTGGTCCAAACTTGATTGTTAACAGACTGCCACCATACAGCTGGAATAGTGCTGAGCACTGGGTGAAACAACAAGCAGAACAATTCTTCAGGACCAAATGTTATTAGTCATAAGTCATGTTTAATTTTTCAACCAGAGAATAATAGCTTGTAGACTGAATTATTAATATGTCTATGTTAACATTCTATGATAACATGACAAGGAATAAGGCTAAAAGATTTCTGAACATATTATTTATGTTTTCATCATTTTTACAGCCAAACTATTAACGGGCTGGAATATGCAATACTGACAGAATGGTTTAACTGGCTGTCAAAAACACAGAAAGCAGAGTTAGATCTCATTGGTGAGTAATATTTAGTTAAAGCGTTGCAGGCATTTTGTCAGTCTAGTCATAGCTTTGAGCCAGGGGGATGCCATGCCAATTTACGCTTATCTACCAGTTTTTCAATGTCTGTTGTGGAAGCCCCATTGACTGTCACTGACTTTGTATGCTGGACATATGGTACACTATGGCTCCAGAGTAAGATTGGTCCCCAGCAACCTGTGTTGGTTGTCATAACTAAAGGCAACTAGATGGATTGGTTGGTCAGACCTGGTGATTGTGTGTCTCATTGCTCACAATGTCATTCAAGTCATTATCTGGTCCAGTCTTGATATTTACAGGTCATCACCCATCATCAGGTGGACAATGTAGCATTAACAACAGATTCAGATGCAGGGGTAGAAATAACTTTAAAATTGCTTGTGTACACCGGTACAGTGGCACATGTAAAATCACTTGCCCTGATCATTTTTCCTCTATACGGTTTTTCTTGTTGATTATTTAAATAAACAACATAATTAACATTGGAAAGTTAACTGGACATTGGTACAGCATGATATACAAATTTGCTTGCCCGACTGGAAAAAACACTGGACTTGGACGTCGGGCAATGGGTTATTTCCACCGCTGCGATAGGTTTCAAATTATGTCATTAATGGAAATGTTCAGCAGCTGATATTTCAAAACAGATGTTCATCACAATTAAGTCTATGGATGTGCCAAATATGCCATCGTAACTATGGCCTGTAAACATTTCTATGTGTTCAATTGTTACAGTGTATTTGCATGCTGACCCAGAAGTGTGCTATGAGCGTATCAAAAAGAGGTCACGGAAGGAAGAGTCGTGTGTGCCAAAGGTAAGTTAAAATCCTGACAAAGGACTATTTGATATTGTACTAACTACAAGTTACATGTATATCCAGAGCTACAGATAACTTTTTAGGTCATTGAGTTATGAACTCGCTTATGTTCATCTCAATAGGGTATCCTAATTTTCCTTTGAGTAACTAAATAAACTGCACTCACCTCACTCAAACTCAATTGGTTATTTTGCCATTGTCCATTAATTTTAAAAATATGATATAGTTTAAATGTTAGTGTTTGGTATTTATATTTGATCTGTAATATGAGAAACGATAAGAAAGATTGCAAGTTGTCAAGTTCATGTCATGAATGATGAAATAGAACCTCTCAATATCCTTCAGTTAATTTATCTATCCACCGGTATGCAAGCTAAGATTTGACATTTTGTGTGTACGCATGTAAGATCACATTTATTGAGTATTTAAAAACAATTCAAATGTACTTGTACGCAATAGACTTAATAGGAATTGAATTTTCACATAAATATTTGCGTAATTTAAGCAGATACGCAGCTTATCTGTACCTCTGTATATCTAATGTTTGAATTCCAAAATTATAAATAGCCGGCCTGTATGACTCAGTATCTATAACTTAGCTACATGATAAAAGCTTGAAATAATAGAGTATTACCTGTACTTTATTGAAAGGGTAGGTAATATATGGCCATGCTATAGATGAGGCAGAAGATGTCTGTTGATAACGTCACACATCTTCAGATGTTAGTTGTGAGAACTACATGTAGGTTTCTCTTTGCAGACACTCATTGATGACATCCACGACCTACATGAAGACTGGCTGGTGAAGCAGACGTTAGGCTCCATCCCTGCTCCTGTGTTGGTGAGTATATCCTTGTATTAATGGGGATTCCAGGTTAGGATGGGTCCCCAGCAATCTATGCTGATTGAAAACTCCAACTGATGGCTAGTAGTGGTGAGAATTGGTTGTGATTTCATAATCGATCATCAGTTACAATTGGATTGGCCCATCCGATCAATCATCGGTTATATTAAATCACAAGAATACCCTCTAAATAATAAATATATTACACAAGGTCATGTGTTTGTTATTGTCTCAGACTTCTGAAGGTAAGCAAGTACAGTTCAGAGACTGATAGTTGAACATGTAGAGGTACACAAAAGAAAAGATTTTTTTTTTTTTTTATGGTTTATTATTTACCATCAACAGCATCAATTACCAACCGGTCAGATGTCATAAAAACACTACATGACTAAAATGCGCCTTGAAGTGTAGTTGACAGAAAATGGATGACGAGGCGGTAATCAGTTTGTGATTGAGAATAATGTTAAAATTGGTGCTATCACGGTTGGAGCGAAAAGTGTACCCTCATGAACATGGTAAGCGGAAGTTGTATGCGCATGGAATGAGGTGAAATACACATGACAGTTTGTTGTGATCGCAAGCTCCAATAAATATGACATTTATCAAAACAAAATATATGCATGTATCCATTTTCTGTCAACTACACTTCATTTCGAGGCGTGAGTAGACGCAATGTGATTGTGATTTCTGTGAATAATGCGGACCAAAGTTATAATCATCGGTAACTGCCAGTTGTCTTGTGGTCTGAGTATCTGGAAAGGGTAACCAATCAATTTTCGATTATAATCGATCATTGGAACACCAATAATGGCTCGTCATAATACCCTGGTGATATGGATCATTGTTAACCATTTCTATCACTGGTCCAGACATGATTATTTACATCATCTTGCTGGAATATTAGCTGATGTTATACAACAAATAAATCAACAGATACCAGCTCTGCATTCTTGAATGCTGCCCAGATGAAGGGAATGAGCTATCAACCATCTTTGTTTGGATCACTTAACACTGGCATGAGTATTGTTAACTAGTGTCAAATATATCACCTACCAGTTGTGCTATACAAGTTGCTTTTGGTTGTAATGTGTTTGTATGTCTGCATTTCAGATTCTAGATGCCAACCGTGGATACGACAAGATGAAGTCCTTGTATGAAGACAAGCGTCAGGAGATTCTATGTGGACATGTATAGTAGAAGATAGACTCATGTACATAGTGACTGTAGTAGTGCAATGAACACCTGAAAACTGACATTAGTCAGGTCATGTGTGACTGGGTCACAGACCACTTATATAGGTCTGAGGTCATGTGTGACTGGGTCACAGACCACTTATATAGGTCTGAGGTCATGTGTGACTGGGTCACAGACCACTTATATAGGTCTGAGGTCATGTGTGACTGGGTCACAGACCACTTATATAGGTCTGAGGTCATGTGTGTCTGGGTCTGGGTCACAGACCACTTATATAGGTCTGAGGTCATGTGTGTCCATAAGGATTGTGTGTTTGGGTGCAGGAAGACATCTTGTTATGGCCAAAACAAAAAAACAACACAACCTCAAAATGCAATTCACCAAGTCAAGAAAACTATCAGTTCACTTAAAACAAGTATTTATGGATGACAACTTCTTTTATTCTAGAGCAAGACATTTCGATACAGGTTCTTGTATCATTTTCTTACTACGACGTACGATACAAGAACCTGTATCGAAACGTCATGCTCTAGAATAAGTTGTCATCCATATATACTTGTTCTATCTGACTAATCTGTTCGATTGGCATTTTAGAAGTTGATGGATAATGGAAAAGTATAATACTTTATGGAAAGTCTGACTTCCAACTTCTAAAATGCCACTCAAAGAAGTTTTCAGTTCACTGCCTTATTTCACATGGTTGCAAACCACTTCTTGTCTTTGACAATTACATGTCAACTTAAAACAATTGACACTAGCATTTTGACTTTATAACTTAGCCTGTACAATAAGCATGGACGTATAATTTTGTCTTTAATATATGAAGTGAAACTGATTGATATGCAAAAGGCACATACTTGTCTACCCAGTTATGATTCGAAGTTTTTGTGCCAAGCACTGCTTGTCTTCCTGGTGCCTGATCTAGAGGTGATCATGTTCACAGATGAGGAAGTTTGTGCTGTGTGCCATGGTTTTTATCATTATCAACGTAAGTACCCCATGTGCCTCGACCAGTTACCTCATACACTGGGCATTTTTGATATTTTATTGTTTCTTGTGAATTATTATAGTTGTTTGTTAATGATATTACTGCCGCTGCCAGTAAAGACTTCCCAGATTAATGTCTAACTAATAGTTGCAAGCAGCTTATGTACATGACAGAGATGGATTGACAGCTACTTTCAACAGTACTTCATTTCTGAGATCAGTGTTCAACATTCAGGGGAACATAGGGTGAAGTATGTTAATCTTGGGTCCCCCAAATCTGCAAGTAAGGGCTTTCAACTTCAAGCTTATTTTTGAACACCGCTAAAGTGATGTAGGTCAGTCAATGACGTGTCTCAAAATCATACTAGTATCAGAAACTGATACATTGGCCCATTTCTGGTGTCCCCGCCGTGATGTTGCTGGAATATTGCTAAAAGCGGCGTAAAACTCAGTCAGAGCCATATTTCCAAATAGTGACATGCATATACATGTTCAAGATTTGTACAATCAGTATATTTGTTTTGTTTTTCCCAACAGAATGTGGAAATCACTGGCTATGATGTGATCACATCAGGCACCAATATTACACTTTGTGACGTATTTGGTTGATGTGAAACTGTTTTTGCTCACTTTGATTTGGAGTGAGCTTAAGAAGTGTTTCTGTTCATTCAACTTTAAGGTATTCATCAAGATACAGCTACTTTTATTGAACAGGTATTCATCAAGTTATTTATTCATCAAGATACAGCTACTTTTATTGAACATTTCTGTATTTACCAGTGTATGTTTTTTGTACTTGGAATACAGTGATCTGAGTGTTGTGTTCTCAGTGCTAATTCAAATCTTTAAGTGCTAAATGTTATGGAGTTCATTGACAGTTATATAGTAATATGATGTTACCATAACAATGTTTATTCATGCAAATACATTCATAATATTTATGTCTTGAAGTCTTTTTTGTGTGTATGAAGTATGAAGACAAATGTCAAAATTATAATGGAAATATCACATTAAAGTCAGCTGGTCAACATGGATTATACAACTTGCAAGTCAAACTTAAATCTTTGGTTATTAGACAATATCTATAAAAAAAATAAGTATAAAATGAATAACTGGACATTTTTGCAAATTTTCCCAACAATATCCACTTTCTTGCATGTACAAGATCATATTGCACAGTGAAGTCACTACATACTGGGTTATGTACAGATAGTCAACAATTGTTGAAGTATCACAGAAGCACTGGGAAGTATCACAGACAATGTTGGATCAAGTTGGTACAAGGGGATCACACAGACTCCGCTTCACTCCTGGGCCATTAGTGCTGCTTCTATGGCAGCATCTGCTCCTGCAGAAATGGAATCTTCACCTTTCTGCAAAAAAAGACATCTCAATATTCATGAGGGAAGACCGAATGTGGATTTCTCAATGGCCACCCTCAAAGCTCAAAGTGACCTATCCAGACGACAACACAGCCTGATCTTCAACCAAACCATAGAGATATACAAAGTTCCACTCTTCAACCAACCCATACAGAAACAATGTTCCCCTACCTACAACTAACCCATACACATACAATGTTCCCATACCTAAAACCAACTGATACAGATACAAAGTTCCCATACCTTTAACCAACCCATACAGATGCAATGTTCCTTTCCTGACAATCAGCCCATCCAAGATACGACTCCCCTCATTAGAATGTTGCACCCCCAGGATACGACACTCACTCTCTGTTCCAGAATGAGCAGATCACTGAGCCTCTTGACTTCCTTAGTCCTTGACAGGAGGGCTGATTCCTTCTGCATGTGTTCTCGCATGATAGCATTCTGCTTCTTCACAAACACAGCGTTCTCACGCATGCTCCGGGTGTACATTCTGAAGGCGAAACATGTACATGGTTGTTTAAATGTTTCCTGCCCATAAGCTTAAAGGTTAAGCAGATATACTGTATTATAGCTAAAATACATTGAACTATCATGAAACAGCCCTCCCATTATCAGAAATTTGCAGGCCGCTGCAAATGATATTGGACCACTCAACCTTAACGATGGGCCACTATCTGTTCTGCTGTCAAGTGACGTCATAGTGGGTGCGTGGCTTACGGTTCATTTGACATTGGCTTTGGACTGGCAGATATTCTGGGTCAAACAAGTCAAAGCAACCTGAATTCCCACTTTAAATAGCGGTAATATTGGCTTTCTTGCTGGTGCTAACCTTAACAATTGCACAATTAACGTTGTTGTTTGATCAAAACCGAACACTGACATAGTTTGACATGTTGCAGGCTATGGTCTCGTCAAAGGCCAAGGTCTAATATCGTCACTTTCTGTTGTGACAGCACTTGAATTGTTCGATGACGTAATTGCATTCGGGCAGTCAACCCCGTCAGAAGTTGGTTTTGAGTAAACTTAGTCAAATTCCTTCGTTGATTCCTTTTCCTTTTCAACACAAATTCCATGTATTTTAGCAATAATAATGGTAATGCTATTTTTGAGGGCATTATCATTTGCAGAAGCTCTCGGTCTTTTTCAACTGCCCTCCTTCGTCAGGCAGTTAATGGAAAGCCTCAGGCTTCTGCAAATGATAATGCCCTCAAAAATAGCATTACCCTTATATTATAGCTAAAACACATGGAATTATCATGAAACGGCCCTCCTATTATCAGAAATTTGCGGGCCGCTGCAAATGATATTGGACCGCTCAACCTTAATGACGGGCCACTATCAGTTCTGTTGTCAAATGACGTCATAGTGGGTGCGTTGGTTCATTCGACTTTGGATTTGGACTGGCAGAAATTCTGGGTCAAACAAGTCAAAGCAACCCGAATTCCCCCTAACGGTAATATTGGCTTTCTTGCTGGTGCTAACCTTAAACATTGCACTATTTACGTTTTTGTGGCCCCAAACCGAACGGACCGCCTCCGTGGTTAGAGCGTCCGCCCGGAGAGCGGAAGCTCACGGGTTCGATCCCTGACCGCGTCATACCAAAAGACGTTAAAATATGGTACTTGTTGGTCCCTGCCTGGCGCTCGGCATTAATGGGTACAACAAGGACTGGTCGGCTCGGAGTCAGTATAATGTGTCTGAGTGGGGTATTCATGCTTCACTGCGGCATGTTATCTCAGTGGGCAAGCACTATAAAACCAGCTTAAGTCTGGGCTAGTACAAGCAGCAGCACATACACACGCATGCACGTCGTCATATGAGCGAAATATTCAAAAGCACGACGTTAACCCCAATTTCACCCCAAACCGAACACTGACAACTGACGTGTCTGAAATAGTTTTGACACGTTGCAGGCCATGGTCTTGTCAAAGGCCAAGGTCGAATATTGTCAGGTTCTGTTGTGGCGTCACGTTAATGGAAGACCTCGGGCTTCTGCAAATGATAATGCCCTCAAACATAGCATTACCCTTATAGCAGTTCACAGTCATCTTGCATTAATCATGTCCTAAGTTTCACACTAATGATGAACACAGGACATGTGGCTGACATGAGTCAGGCTATTTCCTCATGCATCAGTTTATTGACTTTTAGGCCTTTATGATAGGTGCGGAACTTACTGTGAGAATTGCTGCTCTATGTCTTTGATGGTCTTGAGAGATGTACGGATCACGTCCCTGTAGGTTGGGGTATCTAGAGTGGTGCTGGTTAAAGAATACACTTCAGCTGGCAGGAGGTGAATCAAAATTATGTACCGGTACATCAGATCGTCAGATACCCAAATCATCTCATTTGACATTTTATGTCCAATACTTATAATAATGATAATACATGTACTTACCACCACTTTAAAACATTGAGCTTTGCAGCCTTCACTGAGTACTTACAGCTGTTATTATAGTGTCCAATGTGTTACCAACCAATCGTTTATTGGAAAAGTTCAATGAAACTGTCTATCATCAGATCTTGGGGACCGTTTATAATTTATGGCTAGGGGGGATGATGATGATTTATATGGAGAAGCATGTACAATGTGACTTTGTGTACAATTTAGTGACACTTTCCACCCCCCCACACACACTTCATGTACAAAATCAATGACCCTTCCTCCCCTTCCCATAATTTCTAAGCATATTTTTTAAAACATTTTTATGTACAAATTTGCTGACCCCCTAGTACATGTGTACAAAATTGCAGAACCCCCCACCTCCCCAGAACAAAATGGGTGACCCTCCCTCAAAATCAGCATCACCCCTCCTAGCCATAAATTATGAACGGTCCCTTGATTATTACATATTACATTTTACGACTGCGGTATCATGGAAGTCCCAAGCTACCTATGCTTGTTGGAAGAGGAGTGAGTGAGTATGGTTTTACGCTGCTTTTAGCAATATTCCAGCATTATCGTGGCTGGGGACACCAGAAATGGGCTTCCACACATTGTACCCATGTGGGCAATCGAACCCCATGTGACGGGGTGACGAGCAAACGCTTTAACCACTAGGCTACCCCACCACTCCTGTTGGAAGAGGATTAGATGGTTATGCTTGGTGACTTGGTCATAGTACCAGGACAGCAAAGATTAGTGATATCTATCACTAGTTCATTTCATCCATTGTGACACAACTGGAACCAGTCTGTGCACAGTGTTAAACAACAAACATTTGATATGAAGGATATGCTGGCAGGTTTTCTATCTCCGTCCTCTGTACCCGGAAATTAACACCCGCCTCAGTTGTCAGTTTCTTCATCCTCATGAAGTGTGCCACGAGGGGACTGTGGCCGCTGATGTTGAAGGCAGATCTCACAAAGTCGGGACCTCGACAGGCAGGGTGGGACTGAATGAGGACAACAGATCACTTAATCCTTAATCCTGCTATCAAGGTTAGAATATGTCCCCATTACTACCCATTGACTTGTCTTGATATGTTTAGAGAAAAGTTCTGTGCAAATTTACTGATAACCAATATGGAGCTTGTTAGGACTACCCACTAATGAAACCGTAGGTGCATGGGGTCAAACTTGTGTATTCAGATCTCAATAGGATGCATCTTGCAGAGATGCCAACCTCTATGATTTTATCGTAGTCGCTACAAATTTTAGCCTGAAACTATGCCAATATGAATGCACTAGAAATTCTATAAAATTTGAAGAAAATTCATTAGAATTCGGATATATAGACAAAAATGTAATTTTCTGATTAAAATTGATATTTTATACTTATCCTGACTCATGCTATTTGCTTGTCTTCTTCTTCTTGCGAACACAGTGGAACACTTGCATCTCCCAATTGAAGTTCCCTTCAATGTAAAATCACTAATTAGTACTCACCACGAGTTATCTGTTCCCTCAAAAGCGTGGGAACGAGGGCGCCACCTCCTGCCATGTGCCTCACTCTCTCCTTATAAAGCGAGCCCAACACTTGAATTTTCAGGGAAATCCAAAGTGTTATGTGGGGAGGACGGGAAGGCTTACCTCATGAGTCAGGATAAGTATAAAATATCAATTTTAATCAGAAAATTACATATTTTTTCTTATCCTGACTCATGCTATTTGCTTGTAGAATCCGACAGAAACGGAGGTGGGAATACAGAATACTTTGGATTTTAGATAATTAGTGATTTCTGTAATGACTGTAATAACCCTTATGGGAACTTCATAAAGGTACTGATTGATGAATTCCTGCTGCTAACTTATCAGCTGCCCTATATGGGTTATTACAATATAATATTAAGATAAAAGTATATACAACATGTATACTATGCTTAAGACTAATAGCCTTAAGCTTGACAATATGATAGCATAAACTTCATAGAGTTTGTTAGCTAATATACTTTTATGATATAACTATAGTACTGAGCTTAAGATATGATTAAACTTAAGCTAAATATATAATAGCAAAAAACTTCATAGAGTTTGTTAGCTAATATACTTTTATGATATAACTATAGTATTGAGCTTAAGATATGATTAAACTTAAGCTAAATATATAATAGCAAAAAACTCCGTAGAGTTTGTTAGCTAATATACTTTTATGATATAACCATAGTACTGAGCTTAAGATATGATTAAACTTAAGCTAAATATATAATAGCAAAAAACTCCGTAGAGTTTGTTAGCTAATATACTTTTATGATATAACCATAGTACTAAGCTTAAGATATGATTAAACTTAAGCTAAATATATAATAGCAAAAAACTCCGTAGAGTTTGTTAGCTAATATTCTTTTATGATATAACCATAGTACTGAGCTTAAGATATGATTAAACTTAAGCTAAATATATAATAGCAAAAACTCCGTAGAGTTTGTTAGCTAATATACTTTTATGATATAACCATAGTACTGAGCTTAAGATATGATTAAACTTAAGCTAAATATATATTAGCAAAAACTCCGTAGAGTTTGTTACCTAATATACTGTTATGATATAACAACCATAGTACTGTGCTTAAGATAATAAATGAATTTAAGCAAAATATATATAGCATATAGCTATTTAGTACTGTTATAAGATAAGTAGTAAAATCTGTAAGATTGACTTATCTTCTCCGAGGAACTGTCAACTGTTGTGCGAGGACCATGGGACCGAAATGGTGGATACCTCAGACGTCCTCGGTGGTGATATCTCTCAGATAATGGTTGGCAAACACCATATCGGATCTCCAGAAACAACCCTCCATTATGGTATTCAAAGAGCAGTTGCCGTGAAGAGCAAGTGTAGATGCTAACGCTCTAATTTCATGAGGATTAGATGCTCTTGGAGGGTCGAGTCCTGCAGCCTTGTAGGCACGTAGTATGACAGTTCTGATCCAAATTGAGATAGTAGTACGTGAGACTTCAGTCTGCGTAGCTGTTGATAGAGGAATAAATAATCTCTTGAATTTTTGTCTCCTCTATTTGGATTGTTGGAAATATATTTTCAGTGCTCTTACTGGGCATAGTGATAGATCCATCGTATCATGAGGTCCAAGTATAGATGAGAGAGCTGGGACGTGAAATAACCTGTCTGGTTGGCCTGGTAATTGGTTCTTGGTGATAAATCCCAACGTAGTCCCATATGCACGATGTTATGAATATCATCAAAGCGTGTTCTCTCGTAATCCAATGCGTGAATCTCTGACATCCTGGCTGCCGTTGGTAGGGATAACAGGAACAAGGTTTTCTGTGTCAGAAATTCGAACGATGTAGATTGTAACGGTTCATATGCCTCACTTGTGAGGTGTTGGAGCACTATATTTAGATCCCAAGCTGGAGCGTGAAATCTGCGTTTTTGATCCTCCAATCGGAATGCTCGTAGTAAGGCAAGTAACTCTGGGGTCTTGGTTAACTTGACACCCGTTCTCATAGTTATGACAGAGCTTATTGCTGCAAGATAAGTGGATAAGGTTGAGCCTTTTAGATTTTTGGTCTGACGTAGATAACATAAGTAGTCAGCCACTTGAGGATGAGTAGCATATCTAGCTGTAAATCCTTTCTTTGCAGCATAATTGACAAAACTGTGCCATTTGTCATTGTATAAGTTGCGAGTGGAGTTACGCAAGGCAAGCGTGACTGCTTTTGCTGCTCTGGCTGAATAACCTCTCTTATTTAGACACGTCTTGATACAGTCCATATGTGAAGTTGGAATGTTTCTGGCTTTCCGTGTGCTTGTTTGGTGTGCGGATTTATTAACAGATTCGCACACTTTGGAAGTTGTAGTATTGGTTGTCCGATTTCTTGAATAAGAGTTGGAAACCACGTCTCGCTGGCCAGTAGGGCTGACCACCAAAATCGGATGGAGGCTCTGAGTTTGTTTGATTTTGAGTAACACTTGTGGGATTAACGCTGGTGGCGGAACGCGACGCTGCTGAGTCCTTCCCACCGATATGCTTAGTGCGTCCGCTGCCCATGCTAGTGGGTCTGGAACTGGCGATACAAAAGTTGTCAGTTGTTTGTTGAATCGAAAGTGGCAAATAGGTCTATTAGTGGAGTTCCTATTTCCTTGATAATTTGAGTGAATATCTCTGTATGGAGCATCCATTCCGTCGGTGATGGTTGGAGTGGACGAGAGAGAACGTCTGCTATTACATTCTTTGCTCCTGGAATGTGACATGCTCTGACATGTATGTTGAGATTGTCGATTAAATCGAACAATTGAAAACATAGAGTCAATAGGTTCGGGGACCTTGTTGAGCCTTGTTTGTTCACATAAAACGCCACTGTCGAATTGTCTGTGTTAAATCATCAGCTGAGCATTCTGTAGTAAGTTGCTCCAGTGACTTTTGCGTTTATCACTGCTTGCATTTCTAGCAGATTTATGTGTAATTTGCTCTCTTGATTGCTCCATAGGCCTGACGCTGTCCTGTTGGTGAGATGGGCTCCCAACCTTGTAGTGACGCGACGTCCTACGAGAGATGTGTTTCGATTCGCTCTATTAAGGAGACGCCACGCAAACATTCGATCTCTTGGTCCACCATAGTAGGTGAGGTTTGACCTGATCTGGTAGACTGAACGGTAGAGAGTCGTTGAGATGCGAATTGATGAGGACTTGCAACGGGCATAAATGTAGTCTGCCTCTGACTGTCATGTCTTGAGCTGATGTGAGTAATCCCAATAGGCTCTGCCACTGTCGTAGTGGTAGCGAGAGAGTAAGGCTTGTGGGATTGACTGTTGATCTTGATCCATCGGTCCTCCGTACAACTATACGATTCTGGGCTGTTAGAAATCGTGATACCTAGAAATTGCAGATCTTGGCGCTGGCTCTAGGTCTGACTTGAGTAGATTTACTAACCATCCTAATTGAGTTAGTAACTTGATTATAAAGTTCAGCTGTAGTTCGAGACGCTGTGGATCTGGATCCACTTGTATCCCGTCGCCTAGGTAAAAGCGCCATAAGACCTTTGACGATGTAGGTATGAGATGATAGGTTTCGGTCACTCTTGTGAATAACCAGGGGCCAATGAGATTCCAAAAGGGAGCACTTTCCATTGGTAATGTATTCCGCCTAGGATAAATGTTAGATATTTCCTTGAATCGGGATGAATCGAATGTGTAGATATGCGCCTTGCAGATCTATGCTGGCCATGTAGTCTCTGGGACTAATTAAGTGCGTCAGAGTTGGCGGTAGGTGTATCATGCTAAACGCTGGCGGTTTGCTTAGATAGTCTCTGTTGAAGATGCTCATATTGTATATGAGACGAAACTTTTCCCTGGAATTTTTCTTGGGCACTAGGAAAACTGGGGAGTAGAAACCTGGTACGATGTTTACTTGATCCAGAACTTCTAAGGCCTGCTTGTTTAACAGTGTAGCTACTGCCTCTCTTAACATTGGTAGTTGTAATGGATGGAAGTCCAACCTTGGAGGGATGACTGTCAACGGAGGTTTGGCCTTGAGTTGTATTTGATATCCGTGCTGTAGGATGTTGGATACGTAAGGATCTTGTAGGAATCCCCAGTTTTCCCAGTGCAGATGAAGGCGTCCACCCACTTGAAACGGTTGTACTGGAACGGCTGGGGGTGGAGGACTCCAGTCGTTCCAAACCTGTACTTCATCGTTTATAAGCAAGGGAACCTCTGGCTGACCTGCCTCTTGCTGATCCTCCTCTGAAATTGCTGTATGGGCGATTTAAAAGACTCCTTAGAACCTTTGCTGCAGCCAATTGCTTGTCCCGTGCTTTCTGTAGTCCAGAGAATTTCGACTTGCCAGAGTATCTCATAGATGCTTGCTTAATGACATTAGCTAACGTATCCATGGACTTAATCATAAGCACCTCTCTAGAGTCCTTAGACACTTCTTTGGAGACCTTGTCTATGTTACCACCAAAGAGATATGGAGATGACCACGGGGCAGCGTAGAGGGATTCGGTAAATTGATTACCCCAATTACAGGAGGCTAGGAGACGCTGACGACGAGCCATAGTAGTAGCTGCCGAAAGCGCTGACAAATGATCTGTTAGGAACTGTTGGTCTCTTTTCTGCATGAGTAGAGCCGAGTAAATCATTCTATCTTCTTCATCTGTAGAGTCTTTGAACTTGGTGAGAAGAGTTTCATTGACAGTTCTAGATCTATTCAGTCCAAAAAACATTCTCCTAGAAATGGTATCCAACTGAGCTAGCTTGCGGTCGTTCTATTCTGTAATTCCTGGACTTGTTCTCATTGATTAACTTAAAGTTCTCATCAATATCTTGAGCCTTGAAAAAGGAGTCCATCTTAGCGTTGAAAACCGGGAAATGTGCTGTCTGAGACTACGTAGATTTGGTAAAAGCTGCATCCAGATTAGCTGGAACTGCTGCTATCGGGTCAATAGGAGGTAAGGAGATAGTGTCAGCATCATCTTCCTTCATCAAATAAGTATGGGCTGAGTTCTTGTTCTTAGACGGGGAGGAAAGTTCCAAACCATTCACCATCCAGTATCTAATTTCTGCATCCGAGAATACGATACCCTCTTCCTCTTCTGACGTCGGATCACCGATAATAGAGTGAGGTGGAGTCCTAGATCTGTTAGAGGATCGACGAGAAGAATGTGGTGAACGGACTGACGAGTGGCTTGTATAGGGAGACCTTTGTGGAGACTTCCCTTGGCTTAACGCTGGAGGCTTCATGAAGCTCTCTGTGAATCCCTTTATAGATCTTCTAGCTGAAGATGACTTGGAGCCACTTAACCTTCGTGAAGGCCTTCGTGAAGGTATCGAGTCAGAATCCGAATCATTAGATAGGAGCTTGCTTCGCGAACGACCTCTGTGTTCTTCATGGTCTGAGCTCGGTGAAGCACTCCTCCTCCGTGAAGCCTTTCGCGAATGGTGAGGATATGGGTCCTTCGTGGAGGCGGACTGGGATGTCCTTCGCGAAGGCTTCGATACGGGCTGGGTTGCCCTTCGTGAGGAGGCTGCCTGTGGGCTCTGTGGCCCTACGCTGAAGTCAAGCAAACGGGCTCTGGGGCCCTACAAGACTGTGAGTGGGTTGGGCTCTGGGGCCCGCGGCTCTGAGGCCTCTGTAAACCGTGATCGATCTTCCATCAACATCATAATCTGGCTGACCAGGTCGCCTGGGACGGTCTCTGGCGCTGATGTAGACGCTGCCCTCTGTATGGTAGCGACGGGACCCTCAGGTGGATTCTCTGCCATCAGTGTAGGCATCTCTAGCTGCGTGTTGATCTCATGCTGAGGTGACGGTAGCCGATACTGGTCGCTTCTTATGCCAGATATCTGGAATGATGATCGGTAGATCGTCATCATATAAGCCCAATTCTGAAACAGGAAGAATGTCAGATGAAAAATTGTTAGTAGTCTTCATAGGTTTCACTTTCGACGAAGATGTAGCCCTGGGGGTGCGGAGCGTACGTTGTGACGACGTAGAAGCTCTCCTGGTCTTAGACTGGGACGACGGGATGTCCTGGGATGCAGGTCGCTTCTTGGAGATAGCGGACTGCGTCCCACGCTTCTCCCCCGAGGGCAACTCCAATTCTTTATTCGCAGAATGTATGTAGGCCATCGGCCCATAATACAAATATTACATATTTGCAGCCATATATGATTGGCGGTGTCTTACAGCATAATAGACAAACATTGCTATATTTCTGATGACAAAGGTATTGTTGGAGGTCATTAATATATTGTAGTTTGACAAAGAAGGGTATGTGTAAAACTTGGTAGGAATATATAGTGTGCGTAAAGAACTATATGCAGTACACACTAAAAGGAAATGATACTCGTTTTCTATATATCCATTGTCGCACATGTTACATAACCTGTGATGTCTTGGTTTATTTGTGTATCTACCTGTCTCAATATTTAATTGATGGGAACCACAGCCGAAACTGTGCCAGTGCAATGCTAAATTTACTAACGCTAATAACACTTAGATATGGTTCCATAGATAGATTAAAGAGAATAAGAATAAGTTTTAGAACTTGATGATAACGAGTTATGCCATTCTTGATGGGATATATGCTGAGCCCTGATCATAAATTCAGACAGGAAGGAATTTAAGCTACTAATAGACTGTCTTTCCCATATATATCCAAATCCCATATTATAAAGTAATAACTTAAGCTTTGATACCCAATTTGTTTTGCCATGGCTAGCATCTAACAATAATAGGTTGTAGCACTTTCTGGGCAGACGAGATACTGGCATATTCAACAATTTATACCCAATATTTAATAGAGCGTTTGTAAGCATAAACATAAACAGGGTATCTGCCACACTCACCTCGAACGATGTGATTAGGGGTTGATATTTTGACACAAAGCAGATATTTACAAGCCAGAGTTTGAACTTTCTCGATTGGTGAACTAATATCACAATCCAAGCCCCAGACTTCAGCCCCATAAAGTAGGATTTGTAAGACTTTTGAATCAAAGATCCTGAAGAAAATGTCACCACCGAATAGGTTTTAGCTTCGATAGTGACCTAATAATACTATAGAGGGCCTTTTAGATTGTAGAATGGAATTTTCAAAATGTTTATGCCACGACGAGCTTTTGAAAGAAGAACACCCAAATACTTATACCCTGGGACACAATCTATTCTCATGCCATTCAAATACCACTTTTCATATTTAGAGAGCTTACCTCCATTTCTAAAGACAACAATTTTGGATTTATCTAGATTAACGGAAAGGTCATACTCAATACAATACTTTTCCAAAACATTGATAACGCTTTTGTAGGCCACAGATAGTATCAGAGGAGTACTACATCGTCAGCTTAACAACAAGAGAAATACTTGTGTTAGTTCTGGATGCATCTGTATACCAGGATAACAAGATGACTCAATTTCACTAGCCAATTCATCTATAAAATAGAAATAGAAAGGGGCTTAAGACACACCCATGACGCCTTGCTCAATATTACACTGGAACATTTCAGAAAACATATTATTTCAACTCAAGTGGAACTTTACCAGGCGGTAGGCGGTCATCCGCCAACAGTTGACATGGTATATCAGACTCTGATCTATTAGCCATGACTGAAGACTGTTTCCGTAATCTATCTGCTGCGCGTCTCAAGACGCAAAATAAATATTTATCAAAGGCAGAATTAGATAATTTAATACAATGATTGCAACGTGAAACAGTAGAGCATGGCGTAATACAACTAGGGCATATCAAATGCGGATCAGCAGCAGAGAAACGTAATTTACAAACAGTGCAGATTTTCATTAACGCAATCTACTGAGCAAACACGGCGAACCGTGAATAAAACAGTAGAAACACGAATAAATATCAATGCATCATGTATAAGGATACTAGTTACACCTCTGTAGATGATTATAAGAGGTAACCAACTAAATATAAATAAAGGATATAATGTGTAGGGAGACACAGGCGCTCTCACGTCCTGCTCACTGGGCGAAGAAGGAGAGAGTGAGGCACATGGCAGGAGGTGGCGCCCTCGTTCCCGCGCTTTTGAGGGAACAGATAACTCGTGGTGAGTACTAATTAGTGATTTTACATTGAAGGGAACTTCAATTGGGAGATGCAAGTGTTCCACTGTGTTTGCAAGAAGAAGAAGACAAGCAAGTAGCATGAGTCAGGATAAGGAAAAATAACATTTTCATCCATTAAATACATTTTCGGACTTCACTTACCTTCCATTCATCAGATTTAATGACATATTTGAACTGGAATCATTGCAGGTAACACACGTAATTTTAGCGAAATTGTCAGAAATCTGAAGCTGATTTCAATACCTTTGCAATTTTAAGTATTTAGATGACTACTAATTTTATGGTCAAACTACTAATTTTGACCCTTGAAACTACAATTTGCAACACTTTGGGGTTGGCATCTCTCATCTTGTATGGTTATCTTAGTCAAAACTATTAATCTGACAGTGTGTGTTTGATAAACATACAGTTCAAGTATGTGTCTGGGCACCCTTAGATGAGGCTATTTATAAGATGTTTCCCCACATGATTTGTTCAATGTGATACTGTGTGATTTCACTGACCTCAACTTTGACTGCAGTGTCCCGGGAGTGTGAGACCTCCTTGGCTGCAGATGCAGACATCTGGGAAAGCTTCTTGTCCTCTATGTCTGTGTGTGGCTCCTCATCTTCCCCTGTCATTTCTCGGATAGGAGTCAGGGCCTCCAGCAACTTCCGAGGGTCCAACAGCTTCTGCGACTGTTTCCTTGGACTGATCTGTGCATCGGCAACTGTGTCAATCACATGGGAATCCTGGGAAGATGCAGGGGAGACAACTTTCAGAGTTGAAACTTTACGAGACAGCGACTGAGTGCTTTTACGGGCACGAGGTATCCTGGGTACATATTTCTTCTGTGTCCAATTTGAGGAGAGAGATGACCGTGATCCTGACTGGTTGAGGGAAGTGTTGGACGTGTACTGGCTTGGAACGCTGGACACCAGACTGTCCAGGAAGTCAAAGTTGATGGCTGTGCTGGCTGCAGGAGGAACGGTGGCAGATGTAAAACTTGATATTTACTTGATGTGACAGTTTCATAATGAGTAATAACTACACATTTAAAATAGGAATCATTACAATACAACTAAGAATGCACTGACTATGTTTTAGAGTTGCATATGCTGCAGACACTGTCTGATTATTTGTGGAAATATTGTGAAGGCTGTTAAGGCCAAACAAAACTAAAAAATGTTGTGGTTCCGATTACACCTCTTTAAAATTTAGGGTAGGTAGGTAGGAATTTTTTTTTTTTACAATTCATTATAGAAGTAAAGTACAAACTAATAACACAATTATAAAAATGTAATTGATTTTTCAATCAAGCTGGCGGCCATCATGTCAGAATGACCAATGTCCGTTGGTGCCAGGAAAAAAACAATGGTATCTGAAAGCTTATTTTATTCATACCTCTTAAAAAAACCTAGTGTCAACACCAGAAGTCAAAGGTCGGTTGGGTATTCTGAACCACAACAAGTTTTTTAAGTCCTAAAGCTGTTATCGAATGGTTGTTCCACCTAGTACAGCAGGTGTGAAACTTAATCAAATGGATGTTAAACCTAGTGCACCAGGTGAGTACTGTAATAGGATGGCTATTAAACCTAGTGCACCAGGTGAGTACTGTAATAGGATGGCTATTAAACCTAGTGCACCAGGTGAGTACTGTAATAGGATGGCTATTAAACCTAGTGCACCAGGTGAGTACTGTAATAGGATGGCTATTAAACCTAGTGCACCAGGTGAGTACTGTAATAGGATGGCTATTAAACCTAGTGCACCAGGTGAGTACTGTAATAGGATGGCTATTAAACCTAGTGCACCAGGTGAGTACTGTAATAGGATGGCTAGTAAACCTAGTAAAGCAGGTGTGAAACTTAATCAAATGGATGTTAAACCTAGTGCACCAGGTGAGTACTGTAATAGGATGGCTATTAAACCTAGTGCACCAGGTGAGTACTGTAATAGGATGGCTATTAAACCTAGTGCACCAGGTGAGTACTGTAATAGGATGGCTATTAAACCTAGTGCACCAGGTGAGTACTGTAATAGGATGGCTATTAAACCTAGTAATAGGGAGTACTGTAATAGGATGGCTATTAAACCTAGTGCACCAGGTGAGTACTGTAATAGGATGGCTATTAAACCTAGTGCACCAGGTGAGTACTGTAATAGGATGGCTATTAAACCTAGTAGTGCACAAGTGTGAGTAATGTAATATGGATGGCTATTAAACCTAGTGCACCAGGTGAGTACTGTAATAGGATGGCTATTAAACCTAGTGCACCAGGTGAGTACTGTAATAGGATGGATGGCTAGGTGAAACCTAGTGCACCACCTAGTGTGAAACTGTAATAGGATGGATGTTAAACCTAGTGCACCAGGTGAGTACTGTAATAGGATGGCTATTAAACCTAGTGCACCAGGTGAGTACTGTAATAGGATGGCTATTAAACCTAGTGCACCAGGTGAGTACTGTAATAGGATGGCTATTAAACCTAGTGCACCAGGTGAGTACTGTAATAGGATGGCTATTAAACCTAGTGCACCAGGTGAGTACTGTAATAGGATGGCTATTAAACCTAGTGCACCAGGTGAGTACTGTAATAGGATGGCTATTAAACCTAGTGCACCAGGTGAGTACTGTAATAGGATGGCTATTAAACCTAGTGCACCAGGTGAGTACTGTAATAGGATGGCTATTAAACCTAGTGCACCAGGTGAGTACTGTAATAGGATGAGTACTGTAATATTAAAAACCTAGTGCACCAGGTGAGTACTGTAATAGGATGGCTATTAAACCTAGTGCACCAGGTGAGTACTGTAATAGGATGGGATTAAAACCTAGTGCACCAGGTGAGTACTGTAATAGGATGGCCTAGTAATGGAACCTAGTAAACCAAGTGTGTGAGTACTGTAATAGGATGGCTATTAAACCTAGTGCACCAGGTGAGTACTGTAATAGGATGGCTATTAAACCTAGTGCACCAGGTGAGTACTGTAATAGGATGGCTATTAAAAACCTAGTGCACCAGGTGAGTAAACTGTAATACCAGGTGGATGATGGCTATTAAACCTAGTGCACCAGGTGAGTACTGTAATAGGATGGCTATTAAAACCTAGTGCACCAGGTGAGTACTGTAATAGGATGGCTATTAAACCTAGTGCACCAGGTGAGTACTGTAATAGGATGGCTATTAAACCTAGTGCACCAGGTGAGTACTGTAATAGGATGGCTATTAAACCTAGTGCACCAGGTGAGTACTGTAATAGGATGGCTATTAAACCTAGTGCACCAGGTGAGTAAACCTAGTGTGAGTACCGTAATAGGATGGCTATTAAACCTAGTGCACCAGGTGAGTACTGTAATAGGATGGCTATTAAACCTAGTGCACCAGGTGAGTACTGTAATAGGATGGCTATTAAACCTAGTGCAGGATGGCAGGTGAGTACTGTAATAGGATGGCTATTAAACCTAGTGCACCAGGTGTGAGGATGGCTACTTAATCAAATGGATGTTAAACCTAGTGCACCAGGTGAGTACTGTAATAGGATGGCTATTAAACCTAGTGCACCAGGTGAGTACTGTAATAGGATGGCTATTAAACCTAGTGCACCAGGTGAGTACTGTAATAGGATGGCTATTAAACCTAGTGCACCAGGTGAGTACTGTAATAGGATGGCTATTAAACCTAGTGCACCAGGTGAGTACTGTAATAGGATGGCTATTAAACCTAGTGCACCAGGTGAGTACTGTAATAGGATGGCTATTAAACCTAGTGCACCAGGTGAGTACTGTAATAGGATGGCTATTAAAACCTAGTGCACCAGGTGAGTACTGTAATAGGATGGCTATTAAACCTAGTGCACCAGGTGAGTACTGTAATAGGATGGCTATTAAACCTAGTGCACCAGGTGAGTACTGTAATAGGATACTGTAATAGTGGATGGCTATTAGGATGGCTAAACCTAGTGCACCAAGGTGAAACTGTAATAGGATGGCTGTTAAACCTAGTGCACCAGGTGAGTACTGTAATAGGGTACTGTGCACCAGGGATGTAATAGGATGGCTATTAAACCTAGTGCACCAGGTGAGTACTGTAATAGGATGGCTATTAAACCCTAGTGCACCAGGTGAGTGAGGTGAGTACTGTAATAGGATGGCTATTAAACCTAGTGCACCAGGTGAGTACTGTAATAGGATGGCTATTAAACCTAGTGCACCAGGTGAGTACTGTAATAGGATGGCTATTAAACCTAGTGCACCAGGTGAGTACTGTAATAGGATGGCTATTAAACCTAGTGCACCAGGTGAGTACTGTAATAGGATGGCTATTAAACCTAGTAAAGCAGGTGTGAAACTTAATCAAATGGATGTTAAACCTAGTGCACCAGGTGAGTACTGTAATAGGATGGCTATTAAACCTAGTGCACCAGGTGAGTACTGTAATAGGATGGCTATTAAACCTAGTGCACCAGGTGAGTACTGTAATAGGATGGCTATTAAACCTAGTGCACCAGGTGAGTACTGTAATAGGATGGCTATTAAACCTAGTGCACCAGGTGAGTACTGTAATAGGATGGCTATTAAACCTAGTGCACCAGGTGAGTACTGTAATAGGATGGCTATTAAACCTAGTGCACCAGGTGAGTACTGTAATAGGATGGCTATTAAACCTAGTAAAGCAGGTGAAACTTAATCAAATGGATGTTAAACCTAGTGCACCAGGTGAGTACTGTAATAGGATGGCTATTAAACCTAGTGCACCAGGTGAGTACTGTAATAGGATGGCTAGTAAACCTAGTAAAGCAGGTGAACAGATGTGAAACTTAATACTGTAATAATGGATATTAAACCTAGTGCACCAGGTGAGTACTGTAATAGGATGGCTATTAAACCTAGTGCACCAGGTGAGTACTGTAATAGGATGGCTAGTAAACCTAGTGCAAAGCTGTAATAGGTGTAGTAAACTTAATCAAATGGATGTTAAACCTAGTGCACCAGGTGAGTACTGTAATAGGATGGCTATTAAACCTAGTGCACCAGGTGAGTACTGTAATAGGATGGCTAGTAAACCTAGTAAAGCAGGTGTGAAACTTAATCAAATGGATGTTAAACCTAGTGCACCAGGTGAGTACTGTAATAGGATGGCTATTAAACCTAGTGCACCAGGTGAGTACTGTAATAGGATGGCTAGTAAACCTAGTGCACCTGAGTACTGTAAAGCACCTAGTGTGAAACTTAATCAAATGGATGCTAAACCTAGTGCACCAGGTGAGTACTGTAATAGGATGGCTATTAAACCTAGTGCACCAGGTGAGTACTGTAATAGGATGGCTATTAAACCTAGTGCACCAGGTGAGTACTGTAATAGGATGGCTATTAAACCTAGTGCACCAGGTGAGTACTGTAATAGGATGGCTAGTAAACCTAGTGCACCAGGTGAGTACTGTAATAGGATGGCTATTAAACCTAGTGCACCAGGTGAGTACTGTAATAGGATGGCTATTAAACCTAGTGCACCAGGTGAGTACTGTAATAGGATGGCTATTAAGTAAACCTAGTGCACCAGGTGAGTACTGTAATGATGGCTATTAAACCTAGTGCACCAGGTGAGTACTGTAATAGGATGGCTATTAAACCTAGTGCACCAGGTGAGTACTGTAATAGGATGGCTATTAAACCTAGTGCACCAGGTGAGTACTGTAATAGGATGGCTATTAAACCTAGTGCACCAAGGTGAGTACTGTAATAGGATGGCTATTAAACCTAGTGCACCAGGTGAGTACTGTAATAGGATGGCTATTAAACCTAGTGCACCAGGTGAGTACTGTAATAGGATGGCTATTAAACTTAGTGCACCAGGTGAGTACTGTAATAGGATGGCTAGTAAACCTGGTGCACCAGGTGAGTACTGTAATAGGATGGCTATTAAACCTAGTAAAGCAGGTGTCAACTTAGTGGAATGGATGGTAAACTTTGGTAAAGCAGTGTGGACCTTAATAGAACAGCTGTTAAACCTAGTACAGTAGGTGTGAATTTAGGATATTATACCTAGTTGAGTGGATGTGAAGCTCACTACAGCAGGTGTGAAACTTACTACAGTGAATGTGAAACCTACTACAACAAGTGAAAACCTACACTTCTTGTTCTTCTGTGAGAGTATTTCTTCCCTCATCTTGATGTTGGCTGGCTCCAGATGATCCATGTTCCAGCCCAGCCACACCCTCGGGGCTAGAGGCAGCCCTGGAACAGATCACAGACCACACTACCTTATGTTGTTTCTGACAGCTTATGACACAAACGACAAACACTGACACATGCAATGACACAACAATGATGTACCTGTCATCCACTCCATGATGAGGGCCACAAGGTCATCCTTGAAGACCTCTCCGAACTGGCGGTATGAGTCCGGGAAGGCGTGGCAGAAGGCAGAGTAGACAGCCTGGCACATCAGCATGGGGTACCCCTGCTCAAACACATGGAATGCAGTTCAGAAACATGTCATGGATAGAAATGATACGAAAAGAAATATTTTTTTCAGCAATGTTACAGCTACAAGTGGCCTGTTCATAATAGTATGGACCAGAAAATAGAGTCTCAAAATGGAAATTAGAATATTCAGTAGATCTTTCATTCAAAGATACTTCGCTAAAAGATCAAAGCGACATAGTTATCAGGCTATAAAGTAGATTTTTTAAATTACGTCACTACGCCATTCCAGTCTGCCCCTCGTAATCAAACCACCCTTGGTACTATTATAACACAAAAGCACTCAGGGCAAAAGTATACTTTATTAAACTATACATGGGGTAGAGCAAACTGTATTTCTTAACTAGTTTTACCCAATATACTGCTTATGGTCCCACCTTGAGGAATGTGTCCCTGTAAACTGGGTTCTTGGCATAGATCGTCAGTTTCACGTAGTTGTGGGCGATACGGTTAAACAACTTCACCTGGGAGTTGCGACTGGACTGGAACTTCTCCAGGAAATAGTACCAGAACAGATCCTGTATGTTAAAAGACATGGCGAGATATTTTGGAACATACAGCTTGAGGTGAGGTGAGGTGAAATTGGGTTTAACGTCGTGCCTGAGTATATTTGCTCATATGACGACGTGCATGCGTGTGTATGTGTATGTGCGGCTGCTTGTACTAGCCCAGACTTAAGCTGGTTTTATAGTGATAGCCCAAGCTGGTTTTATAGTGCTAGCCCACTGAGATAACATGCCGCAGTGAAGCATGAATACCCCACTCAGACACATTATACTGACTCCGAGCCGACCAGTCCTTGTTGTACCCATTAATGCCGAGAGCCAGGCAGGGACCAATAAGTACCATATTTGAACGTCTTTTGGTATGACACGGTCAGGGATCGAACCTGCGACCTTCCGCTCTCCGGGCGGATGCTCTAACCTACACCACGGAGGCGGTCACATAGAGCGTGAGACACTGTTAAGAACAGTCATGGTGACAATGGAACAGACAATATGGGATTGGAAGAACACTCACAGTATCATATAATTTCTTGATTTGAATCACCTAATATATTGCCAGACTTCCCCGAAAGTCGATCTATTTCTGCCATGGCTTTATCCATCCAGCAGCAAAGCAACAATATCATTTCAGAATGCTCTGAGAATCCATATGTCAACAATGAAAATAGAAAAACAAAAGCAACTTGGAGAGAATGTGTTCATGATCTGACCTGCAATACTGCCTGTGACATCTGAGAGTAGAACAGATGATCGAACTCGGGCTTGAAGTGCGGCTGTAATCAACACAGAAAAGTACTGATAATTACATGTGTATAGTCACAGCCTAGCAAATACAACACACAATTTTCTTCACAATTTTTAAATGCAGTCATGAAAGTACAACCTAATTATCTCTAGATAATTGTATACTTTATGATCAAGTCCCATGGAAGCCTCGGCTGCATTCTTCAGCATATCTGCAGCTGCGATCCCATCTGGCAGGGGAGTTAACTCTGTGGGGTCATAGCCAGGATACTGATGCAGCTGTACAGAAGATAAACAAATTATACAAAATAAGGCTATATTACATATAACATGACTGCAAAGCCTACATTGTAAAAGAAATGGTTAGGAAAAAAATTACTGAATAAGAACATTGCAAAGATGAAGTGTTGAATGCTCTATAATATGCATAATTACCTCAACAAATTTTGGTTTTCCTGTCTCCTTCTTGGCCTGTAACAAGACAAGTATATTCTGATGTATGATATATGTTAAACAGCTCAGGTAAATTAAATATGACAGCCTGCTTGAAACATGAAAATTAGTTACCTGTTTCCCTTACATTTAGTGGGGGGAGGTGGGGTAGCCTAGTGGTTAAAGCGTTCAGCTCATCACGCCAAAGGCCCGGGTTCGATTCCCCACATGGGTAAAATGTGTGAAGCCCATTTCTGGTGTTCCCCTGCTGTGATATTGCTGGAATCTTGCTAAAAGCGGCATATAACCCAACTCACTCACTACATTTAGTGGCTTGCTGCAATGGCCATGAGAAGTTTCACTGTTGCAACAGTGTTAAGTTATTCTCACTCACTCATTCAAATCATACAATGAATATAACATTACCATCTCAAAACAGAAAAATCCATGATCTTGTCCGAATTCACCCGTGTGACAATTGGTTACGGATCAACCCTGCAGTGTTAACACTACCTATGTATAATATTGATAAATTGAGGCATCCAACTCTCTGGCTTCAACATTTCCAATGTACCATAGTAATAAACAATGGGATCAAACCTAGCAGCAGTAACACTTCCAACATGATACTAAGGATGCTCGTAATGCAGTACAGTGGGATTAAACCCTGTAGCTATGACACCCGATACATACACTGATAGTTGTCTTGCTCGGCTGCATACTGATTTTGGATATGTGTTTCACCCTCTGGCTGAGTCCAGGGACAAGGGCTGAAATAGATGTCAATTAACATATATGATTTCAAAGATTACTGAGAAATGAAGGATATATCACTGGGCACGGTCACAATTTCTGCTCTTCAGTGATAATGGTGTCATTGAACACAAGACACTGGTGACTGTTTCTGCCATGAAAAGGAAAACATTGCCTGAATATGCTGCACATGGGCCACACTTTCAAGTGTCTTTTCAACATATATTTAAGTGAAAAAAGAGGAAGATGAAAAACTAAGGCATTTTGCAATTATTTCTCTTATGCAATAGGCTCGGAAGTTCTGAGTCTAACTGCAAAGGTGAAATGATAAATAAGCCTTTTACAATCTAGGCTGCATTTGAACCAAACACAACCAGACAACATAATTCTGTAGGCATCAACATGACTAGGTAGACTGTCATCTAGTATCACCACCTGAGATGGGAGGGGGGAGGGAAACGATCACGTTGAAAACTGATAAACAACCATCATAGTTAGGATGAACTTTTAACTTTCCCCTCACAATTGCTGTCATTACAAATTTGTAAATATTTGCTACATTGCTGTTTGATAAGGCTTCTAGTGTGACTGACTGTCAAGTTCAGTATGGTAGATTTTTAACTTACTGGACTTAAGTGTATAGATTCCAGCAAAACAGTTCACTTCTTTGGTCTCCCTTTCTGAAATAAAAAAAAAGAAGATTTCTTGACAAACTGACTTTGATTTGTTTGTTGTTTAAGTCTGAACATCATTTGGACCAGGCAAACCAATGAATGATATGATGACACACAATCCAGCAATATGTCAGCAAACCTCACCATAAAATACATGGTGTGGGAGCCTGTTCAAACCCACAATCCACATGTCACAAATGCTGAAGTATATGTTTGTACAGATATACACCAATCGAATATGATTCACATACCCCTCTGATGATACCTGTCCCGACCCATAGCACTGGCCGGAAACAGGTCAGCAAGGTCTGCATGGCTGGCAGCACGGCTCTCACACACCAGCTGAGTGTAACCCTGAAGCTTACGATCCAAACTGCTGATCTTCTTGTTTACCGCTTCTATGGAACCAATCAGAAATGCTGGAGACAATGTTAAAGATTTCAACATGCAAGTACAAATTTAAAATGTTTATTTTGAAAATATTTGTCTTTAGGTTGCCTACAAATGTTGATACTTGATAACCAAAAGTCCCATTTAATATTTAGCTTTTGTGTGACTTCTTTTGAATGTATGTCTGTAGTGGCTATAATACCATACAAATTAACATGAAAATAAATCACTTAGTAAATTATTTAGTAACAGAACCAATATATAAATTGAGGAGATATGCCAACAGTATCACAGATACTGATATTGGCTATGGTACATAATCGTACATAAAAACAATTGTCTTTGGGTGGTATATTAACAATCTCGAAAATTGAACTTCAATAACTGTGACAAATATAACAGTACAACACTGATATATTAGTTAGACATGTTGATCGAAATTAGGACAGGCAATATTTTCTAGAAGCGAGTCCATTGTGATCAAATCTTGAAAGTAGAGGAGTTACAACTTAAATGCGAAGGATACGTGATCTTGTTCGTTGTTTAAGTGCCAAAAGCTTTTTCCTTTTTTCTATTTTATCAGGAGACTCATCAAGACTTTCTTCGCAAATGTCCATGGGCGACCCAACCCGATTGATGAGATCCGCCATGTTGTTTATCTCGGCAACCACACGCTAAGCTAGTACTAACTGATAAACGTTTCGAACTTATATTAAGGTACACTTTAGGAAAAACTAAACTAAATGTAAAAGAATTAAAATAAAAACTACATTAATGAAATCAATTCCGTTAATAGTTAGAATCTGTCCGAAACATCGTCTTATGTAACATATGCAAAGCGCAGCTTGTTACTTTCGTACATTTCTAAGTTCGGGAAGGGGAACAAGAAATAGAAGCTGGTGCAGTTAATCAAGGAAGTAAAAGTTATCGCTTTATGACAAGATGTCATTTTGCGGGTGGTCAAGCGGTGAACAATATAGAGATCATTTCGAGAAAGGTTGGTAAGATTGGAAAAAAATCGAACAATATATAACTACAGTCCGTTTGAGTCAGAAACGGACCGATGAATTGCAAATTTTATGATTGTACAAAATTGCCACATAAATATAAATAGTACACATGTTTATCATTTACTAATACCCAACAGCTTTCTTATATTTGAAAATTTTCCAGACTCCACCAAAAAAGTTCTTTAAGAAACTATCATCATTGAAAACGCAAAAGTTGTTATCTGTCGCGGCGGGGTGAAACCGCTGAAACGGAACAGCCAGTCATGGCGGGGGACATCTCAAAATCTATTCCGGGAGACCTGTCGGTTCCTCGTCTGTCGTAGTGTCATAGTCACGACTTAAAGGGATGACAAGTGGTGCCACAGTTGCCTGTTGTAAGCCATCCCGAGACCAGTAACCTTGTTCAATGACGTTAGCTGACTTGTTGACACAGTTTTGCCAAGTTTCAGTCGTGATTTTGTTAAGGGATTCCTTAACCAAAACCTCTACGTCACGTAATTCTAAAAGATGTGTTTGATCTGGCAACATCTCCTTTGACAATACCCCATATCATTTCAATGGGGTTAAGGTCACAGTGATAGGGTGGAAGTCGCAGAATATCGTGACCCTTACTTTTTATGTAACTGTCAACTTTGTAGAAAGGTTCACCTTTGTGGGTTTTTATGATCTCATATAGCTGAAGCTATCTGCGATCTGAAATTTGTCGAGCCATGATATCATATCACCTTTTTGACTGTTTGATGTCGGGGCTTTACTGTCGGGGTCCTGCACGCTGTTGTATGGGGCATTGTCCATTACGATAAAAGACTTCTCTGGTAGAGCTGGTACCAACTTGTTTTTAACCCAATCGAGGAAAACCGCACCATTCATCTCGGAATGGTAGTCTGTTATCTGTGGACTTTGCCCTGAATACCAAGTCGCAGCCTGGGAGAAAGCCTTTGCTGGAGCAACCAGCATGGAGAATGATTAGTCTCTCTCGTTTCCCTAGAGGCAGCTTTCTTAGTTTCTACGTGACCCCTTATCACCCCCATCGGGTACCCACTGACTGCTGGCAGTGTGCGAGGCATTGACCCAGGTCTCGTCCAAGTACACTGGCTCGAACCCTTCCTCGCGCTTCTTCTTTATAACCCTGAGAAAATTATTTCTCAAGCGAACAATATCAGAGTTCACAGAGTTGACCTATTCTCCCGAAATTTTTCTTATACCGATACCCGAAGAGTGTAAGATTAAGCCAGAGTGTGTACTTTGATACTCTGAGGTTGTGTTCTTGCTTCAAATGCTTTTTAAAATTTTCAGCGACATGTATTTGTTTTCAGAATAGAGCTTGTTGATAAGACTGCCTTACAAGGTTCTTTTGAAAGTTGTCCAAATGTTTTAATTTGTGTGATTTTGACACGACCCCTACCTGCTTCGCATCACCCTCACAATGTTTGTGTTCCAGAACATTTGTCAGTACCCTTGCTGATACACCTAAAGCTTTTGCTGCCTGCTTACAGAATTTATTAATGGCATAAAATGGTTTGCCCCTTTTGGCTTCAGCACGTAAAAAATCGTACACTTTAATCATCAACTGTTTCACATCAGCATTCAACTTCATTTTTCATCAGGCATGTGTATCCCGTGCACTCTAACGAGATAGTCGCTGTTCCGTTTCTGCGGTTTCGTCCCGCCGCGACAGATAACAACTTTTGCATTTTCAACGATGATAGTTTCTTAAAGAACTTTTTTGGTGGAGTCTGGAAATTTTTCAAATATAAGAAAGCTGTTGGGTATTAGTAAATGATAAACATGTGTACTATTTATATTTATGTGGCAATTTTGTACAATGATAAAATTTGCAATTCATCGGACTGTACTGGCAGTAGGTTAATTGTTATGCAACTAAGATAAAAATTCTACCAGGGATATATGCTTAATTTTTATAATTTTATTGTTTTTGTCTTTAAATAATTTGTGTATAACTGATGTAGTGATTAGGCCTATATTAATTTATTTAACATAAGGGCATTCTGTCCAAAGAAGAGCTATGAGAAGATTATCATGGGATACACCTAATCTGCCAGTGTTTTTTCGCAAGACTAATGACATAAATTAAGGATGTTAAGTAATATCAGTGAAGCGAAAATGTTCTCTTAAATAATTACTAGCCAGTGCTATGATTCTGTAGCTTAAGGATCTCTGTACCATGCACAATTAAAATAATTACATAACTATAGCTGAAGGGGTCGTTGTCGGCACAGGTACTACAGACACGTACCCCAGGTACGTTTCTGTATACAGATATGTACCCTAAACAAAGTCAAAATACAGAAACGTACCCGGTACCCTAAAATGCGGACGAGTCCATATTCCGCAATCCAAAAGCGAAACCGTATGTAGTTGTTCCCGTTCAACTGATTCCCGAGTGGTATTCATGTGCGTCGCGAAACATCCATTACTGTGTATTCTCATTACTTACATAACGCAATCAAATGTATCTAATACAACAGTATGACAGTTCCGGTCAAGAATATGACACAATGGGAATGGAATCGTCCTAGGGTACGTTTATGTATTCTCATTATGGCCACGGGACATATCTGTAGTACCCACAACGACCCCTTCAGCACAACTATAGACAAGGAAATAGAGCTTAGGGACCACTCATATTTTATGGCTAGGGAGGTGATGATTTTTATGGAGAAACATGTACAATGACAATGACTAAACTACCACCCCACCCCCACCCCCATCCCACCCACCCATGTACAAAGTAAGTGACACCCACCCTACCCATCCTGCATGTAATGTACAAAATCAATGACCCCACCTTCCCATAAATTTTAAGCTTTTAAAAAAATATTGCTATGCACAAAATGCTGACCCCCTAGTACATGTGTACAAAATTGATGATCCCCCTTCCCAGATTGCCAACATTGGGCCAACGTCTGAATGCTATCTGGGTTCTTCCTTGCCAGAACAAATGGGTGACACCCCCCACCCCCACCCCTTTTAAAATCATCATCACCACCACCACCACAGATATCTAGTCATGAATCATGGAATACATTTGATGTCATAGTGTAAATTTAACTTGTCATCTTATAGAAGATGTTTATGTTTCAGGTATCTATGTTTGTTCTGCATGTAACAATGAGCTGTTTCACAGCAAGACCAAGTTTGAACATTCTTCCCCTTGGCCGTCCTTCACAGAGTTGATACGACCAGACAGTGTATCACGGCGACCAGAGTCACAAAGGGCCATGAAGGTAAGACGTCAGTCAGTGTTGTGCAGAGCTACAGATAACTTTTTGCGTCAATGAGTTATGTACTCGCTTGTGTTCATCTCAGTTGGGTATCCTAATTTTCCTTTGAGTAACCAAATAAATTGTACCCATCTCACTCAAACTCAATTGGGTTTTATGCCAGTTTCCATAAATTGTATAATATGATAACGTTTAAATGTCAATTTACGTGTTTGTTATCTATATTTGAACTGTAATACGAGAAACGATAAGAAAGACTGCAACTTGATAAGTTCATGTGTTGAAATAGAATCTCTCAATATACATAAGTTATTTTATCTCTCCAACAGTATCCAAGCTAAGATTTGACACTGTTGTGTGTACGCATGCAAGATCAATTTATTGAGTATTTACAGAAATTCAAGCATACTTGTACGCAATAGACTTAATAGGAATTGCGCTTTCACATAAATACTTTGCATTATTAATTTAAAGTGTGAGATTGCATGCAGCTTTGACTGTGTTTTGTCTTTACTTTGTTTTTTCAAATGTCATGTGGCCAGTGTATACTTTATGTTGACAAATATCCTGTAGCTGGTGCTTATTTATGCTGATGTGTCCTGTTACCATGGGTACAGCTGATTGGTATGTGTTGACAGATTTCCTGTGGCAATTGTGGTAATGGACTTGGACATGAATTTATTGGAGATGGACCCAAGAAAGGCCAATCAAGATTTTGAATATTCAGTGATTCTCTAAAATTTATCTCTAATGATAGTAAGTACAAATGTTTCATTATGTATGTGTCCTTATATTAAGTAACCACTGTCACATACCATAGTAACCACACAATAGAATAAGGTTTTATAAACTCTATTCCTCCCCTGTAGGTACAATAAAACCCCAATAACTATACTAAATCTAAACTAATTCCCAAAGGACTAATACAACTAACTAATCTAACTACCTAAACTAGCTGCACATACATTCTGCCTACCTCTAATGTTGATAAGGATATACTGTCAGCACTACGAACTATACTTATTTCCTAATACCCACACTTATAAAAACATGACTACAACATTGAATACTAATGAAATAGACAAAAACAATGAGAACTGCCACTCTATGGTCTTTCAGATGTGTAACAGCTCTTCATGAGAATGTCAATGGACTTTTGTTCCACTTTTTGACACATCCTGTGTATAGGTGTGTTACCTCTCACACCTAGGCGATGATTTCCCTGAGTAGAAAGTGCCTGTGTAGTTGATGATGGCTGTGCCATCTACATCTCACTTTTTGTCGGAGATACTCCTTACTCAGTAATGGAGACCCTTGTCTCCTTACGAGCAGAGATATTTGACTTCTCTTTACTCTAAGGTTTAACCGACCAGTTCCGGGAAACTACAATACAATACAGGTAACTACAGTTACTCATAAAGGCATGTGTCATTACTTATACTTCACACACTACTCTGGTTTACAATTCTAAAGGCAGAACTGTTTAAATGGAACTGAGTCCTCATCTTCATTAAGTGACTATGTATAATGTTACAGTATATGCATACCTATATATATCTAGAAATAATCCACCATGGTGATTCAATTAAATAGACTCTTAGGTGAACACGATGGTGATCTCTGACTGATATTTAGGTGAACACCTTGGTGATTCTGGGTGACATGTAGGTGAATATCAGTTGCTTGAACCCATGTAGGTGAACACGATGATGATTCTGGTTGACTGTACAAATTACTGCCCTCTGCCACTATTTATACTGACCTCCCATACCCAAGCTACTCTACACCTCCCTATTGTTCATCAATTAACTCCCCAGCTCTGTGGCCATACCTGGTCACGCTTCCCTGAATATAACCCTGTTCCCATAGTATTACCAGATAAAATCTAACCAAAAAAACTCAAACTTTAATAACCCACTTTAACAATACCACATTACATGTATTTTAATTACCATAAGCTAATTCATATAATACCACATTACATGTATTTTAAGTACCATAAGCTAATTCATACAAACAAAATCATCTGAGATCTTGACACTGACCACCAATATCAAATTTGAGTAAACAAGAGAAACAGGTCTACTACACATCACACATGGAAATAGTCTGTATGTAAATTAACAACCAGAGGTGTTTTTCTGGGCAAGACTTCCACCCGTATCCCCCTTACATTTTAACAATGAGGACAAATTTCTTTGAGTGGCATTTTTAGAAATTGGATATGTCTTTCAGTATGTTCAGATACAATTAAAGAAACATGTTAAAACTGATCCTTTTCAGATGAGGAATATATATTCAGGTTATATGATTTAACTAGAATGTAATTTAAGGGGGGATATGGGCAGAAGTCTTTCCTTTTTCTGGGGTTTTTATAAACTTCAGAAAGACTAAAACCAGGTAAGATTATCTGTACAAGCTCCCATCCATGGTTTTAGTTTCATCGACTTTGTGGAGGACTAGCCTGAGATAAGTTATGAGTTCGAGTTTGTGTCAAGTCATTCAGACACCAACAGATCATGTGATTACTTCTTAGCTTGACTGATACTGATCCATCATGTGATATAAGAACATGTGACCAAGTTTCCGTTTGTGTCAAGTCATTCAGACCCAACAAATTATGTCTTAGGGACGTTCATAATTTATGGCTAGGGGGGGTGATGATGTTTTTATGGAGAAGCATGTACAATGTGAATGCCCCACCCCCTAAAATTTATGTACAAAAAGTAAGTGACCCCTCCCCTTTCCATATTTTTACAGCATAATTTTAAAATATTTTTATGTACAAAATTGTTGACCCCCAACAAACATGTACAAAATTGATGACCCCCTATCTCACACCCAGAACAAAATGGGTGACACACCCCTTAAAATCATCAAACACCCCACCCCACAAGCCATAAATTATGAACGGTCCCTTAGATCATTAATAATTAATTACAAAGTGACCAAGTTAAAGTTTATGTCAAGTCATTCAGACCAAAAGCGCATGCGCCGTCACAATACACACTATTTAATTTTCTGTATACATACAAAATACAATATGGGCTAATATGAATTACCAGCTTCTCTTACAATGACCTTCCAGTATTTTTGTCAGTCAAATATTAAACAATGCATTGTAATGTGTTTCAAGAAATGCATATTTACCCGGTACATCAAATCTTAAAAATTCTTGACTGTACGTATTTCGGAGCAGGTACAAAAGGAAGACTTAGCTGTAGAAACTTGGTCATAGTGGCTATTTTTATCCCCCGCAACGCGTTTTGCGGGGGGTATTAAAATGGACTCCGTCCGTCCGTCCGTCCGTCCGTGCACTTTTGTCTTTTCCGGAGCAGAACTCTAAAACCGTTCACTATTTCGTCACCAAACTTGGCACATAGATAGATCTGGTGGTGTACTGGTGCCTTTTGGTAGTTTTGGAATTCTGAATAAAATATTTTTGGCGTTTCCATGGCAACAAGTTTGACTTAGACTGAAATTGGTGGTTGTGCTCTTTTCCGGAGCAGAACTCTAAAACCGTTCACTATTTCTTCACCAAACTTTGCACATAGATAGATCTGGTGGTGAACTGGTGCCTTTTGGTAGTTTTGGAATTCTGAATAAAATATTGTTTTTCCATGGCAACAAGTTTGACTTAGCCTGAAATTGACGGAGCAGAACTCTAAAACCGTTCAATGTTTTTCACCAAACTTGGCACATACATAGATCTGGTGGTGTACTGGTGCCTTTGGTAGTTTGGGAATTCTGAATAAAATATGTTTGGCGTTTCCATGGCAACAAGTTTGACTTAGACTGAAATTGGTGGTTGTGCTCCTTTTGGAGCAGAACTTTAAAACCTTTCAATACTCTCCTTCCACTTTTCTATATACACACCTAAATATTAGACATAATCATAACTCGTAGACATAATCATGAAGAGTATTTTGCCATTGCGGGGGATATTGATGATCTGGTGGTGAACTGGTGCCTTTTGGTAGTTTTGGAATTCTGAATAAAATATTGTTGGCGTTTCCATGGCAACAAGTTTGACTTAGACTGAAATTGGTGGTAGTGCTCTTTTCCGGAGCAGAACTCTAAAACTGTTCAATGTTTCTTCACCAAACTTGGCACATAGATAGATCTGGTGGTGTACTGGTGCCTTTTGGTAGTTTTGGAATTCTGAATAAAATATTTTTGGCGTTTCCATGGCAACAAGTTTGACTTAGCCTGAAATGGTTGGTTGTGCTCTTTTCCGGAGCAGAACTCTAAAACCGTTCAATGTTTCTTCACCAAACTTGGCACATACATAGATCTGGTGGTGTACTGGTGCCTTTTGGTAGTTTGGGAATTCTGAATAAAATATGTTTGGCGTTTCCATGGCAACAAGTTTGACTTAGACTGAAATTGGTGGTTGTGCTCCTTTTTGGAGCAGAACTTTAAAAACCTTTCAATACTCTCCTTCCACTTTTCTATATACACACCTAAATATTAGACATAATCATAACTCGTAGACATAATCATGAAGAGTATTTTGCCATTGGATATTGATGACTTTGTCTTCTTGTTACTAGTGAACATGTAACGCTAATTCTTTCATGACCTGTGTATCATGATGCGTGACCTTGCTGAATCATTTCACTGATTTCACTGATACCATATAATAATATTTTATGTCTCATGATATGGTGCTGTGAACAAAATATGAACAAACTGATTGTCTAAAACTAAGAAGTATAGCTTCTACGAAATTGGGATAGGGCATATATTACTTAAAGCTATAAATATAATGGAATGATTTAATTTTCAGAACTGAAGTCCACATCGTAGATATTGAATCCTGGTGCAGCCCTTCCGAATCTCAGGATGTTCTACCTCACGGCCAATCAAGACTGACTCAGCTCCACACTCTTTGTCTCTCCACACTCTTTATGTTCTTTGTTTAAATACAAACAGATAATTGCTATGTTATTGACAAAACATGTCAATTTGCTTGCTCAATTTCCATTTTTGAACTTCAGAAATAAAGTGTGACAATAGAAATGTTTAGGAGAGGAAGAACTACTGAACCCATTCTGATTATTCTTTTTATGAAGCTATATAACTGTCAGGATTTGTTTGCCACATATTTGAATGTGATTTTCAACACTGCTAGAATGTTTGGACAGTGCTTCTTGTTAACAGAGTGACAAAAGTTTGAATACTACAATGATATATAATGAGAGGCACATGGATACCTTGTGTATCTCACTGGCTGACCTGATAAGGTTTATATTCTCCCCTGTGAAAATGTTGACAATTACCAGTCACAGTGTTATAAAACATGTTATTTCACAGGAAAACCATACCTACATCAGGACACATATGTGCCAGATAAGCCTTAATGATGTTGATAGCTAATTGTGTCATTTTTACTACTCCTGGGTTCTTTGAAGGAATAGCCATTAAGATGTTTTTCTTATTTATTGACGGGGCAGTGGGGTAGCCTAGTGGTTAAAGCGTTCGCTCGGCACGCCAAAGGCCCGGGTTCGATTCCCCACATGGGCACAATATGTGAAGCCCATTTCTGGTGTCCCCCGCCGTGATATTGCTGGAATATTGTTAAAAGCGGCGTAAAATCAAACTCACTCACTTGGTCACTCTTATTTATTGACACTAGCCTAGATGGTAATATACTTTACTGTAAATTCATGTCAATACTTTTTGAAGGATCAGATTCTAATGGTCAGTTCATTTGTTTACTCATTTAATTTCAGGCTTACTTCACTAAATGCTACAATGATTAATCTGTCTGAAGTCTATGGGGCCTTTATTCCACTGCTGCAACATGCATGCATGTGCCATGTGAGGGGGCTGTTACCAGGAATAATGAGGTCATCTAGTCCCACTTGCCCTTCTCTGTACCAGCTCGGAGCGTGTGAAGCTGGGTGGCCAGAGCCCCCTGTGGGAAAGCCCCTAAGTGGAAGTAACTCCGTCTAGCACAGACTTGGGTGACTGATTACTGGAGAGCCTTGATAGAGCAGAGAAGGCTTGTACACCGTCTATGATGTATCATATATGTATAGTGATAATTTATGAGGTACTTAGCACTACACCAAATACTTAATGTGGTTGCCATGTACCAGCTTCTTTCTCTGCTGTATCTGATGTACATATAATTAGTATTTAATTTTTGGGGACACTATGGTAAGATTCAGCCTGGCAAGTTTGCTATTCTTCATATGAATCAGACAGGACACTTTATTTTGTGGTACATATTTTTGTTTTGGGGGCTGTTATATTTGTACTGTTTGTATTATGAAAACATATCAGAATAGGGAACTGTTATCAACAACTTTCACAGGACACCTGCTTTATATGTAGTACACCAGAACACCAGTAATGACAACTGTGGTAACAGGTTATATGTTCTAGTGTGTAGTAGTGAATATGCACGGAATAATTATCTAGTACAACAGTTGCAAACATTGTATACCTACAGATCTGAATAAAGAGACTTTACTGTGGTTCATGATTAACCTAACTGTACTACAGATGTATGTATGTTCTATGCTGCACCATGTCTGTGCCACAACACTCCTGTAACCAGGTGATATCAAATTGTGGGAAGGTATCAAACCCATGTACAAAGTATGTGAAACAGTGTACTAGAAATATGCAAGAAGTGAGTCAGGTGTGTTTTTTTGTTCTGGATCGTTCAAAAGTTTATGCAATTCCTTTGGTTGAGGAAGTATCCTCTCATGCAATGTTTCCCCTTTTTGGGAGAGTTGATATTAAAAGAACTATAATTTTATCCTGTCTTGTGTTTCATTCAACGGGTGTGATGCTGATTAATATGAAATGTGAGAAGAGTCTATGAACATCAGTGTGCACAGTGCATGCCCATTGAATTAGCATTCAAATTATCCAGATTAACACGTTTTTATACAGATTGTTCTGATACACAAATGGACTAATGAATTTTTCTATATATATTGTTGAACCTAGTAACCAACTCTGTATCCAATTTAATAGGGTTTTTCAATACTACATCACAGCAACCCAGGGGAAATCCAGCAACATACCAGCAGTTATACCACGCTGGCTTACAGTGTAATCAGCAACATCCCAGTTATACCACGCTGGCTTACAGTGTGTAAATTGACTTTAAAATATTGTGTTTTGTCTACAAATGCCTCAATGGCATAGGCCCAGAATACCTGGAAGGAACTCCTTACCCCATACACTCCAGAAAGACAGCTCCGTGAATCTGAACCAGTTATATCACACTCTCTGTGCCTCAGGGTTCAGTTAGCTCAAACTGGAAGGAAATCCTGCAACATGTCTGCTCTGCCACTCTACTCTGGAACTCTCTCCATCACCATTAAATCACACTTGACAGTGTGTATTCCTTCAACAGCCAGTTATCAAGACTCATCTGTTTTTCACTGCATTATGACTAGCAACTAGTCCCTTATTGTATATATGTATTATTATCCACTCACTTTGTTAGCGCTGCAGCATGGGCCTTGTGCATGGAAAGTGCATTATAACATTCACATTTATTATATTATTACTATTATTATTATTAATCCTGCAACATCCCAGTTATATCACACTGGACGGTGTGTAACCTGCAACATCCCAGTTATATCACACTGGATATGTGTAACCTGCAACATCCCAGTTATATCACACTGGACTGTGTGTAACCAGCAACATCCCAGTTATATCACACTGGACAGTGTGTAACCTGCAACATCCCAGTTATATCACACTGGACAGTGTGTAACCTGCAACATCCCAGTTATATCACACTGGACAGTGTGTAACCTGCAACATCCCAGTTATATCACACTGACACGGTGTGTAACCTGCAACATCCCAGTTATATCACACTGGACGGTGTGTGTAACCTGCAACATCCCAGTTATATCACACTGGACTGTGTGTAACCTGCAACATCCCAGTTATATCACACTGGACAGTGTGTAACCTGCAACATCCCAGTTATATCACACTGGACTGTGTGTAACCTGCAACATCCCAGTTATATCACACTGGACATCCCAGTGTGTAACCTGCAACATGCCAGTTATATCACACTGGACTGTGTGTAACCTGCAACATCCCAGTTATATCACACTGGACAGTGTGTAACCTAAGCAACATCCCAGTTATATCACACTGGACAGTGTGTAACCTGCAACATCCCAGTTATATCACACTGGACAGTGTGTAACCTGCAACATCCCAGTTATATCACACTGGACTGTGTGTAACCTGCAACATCCCAGTTATATCACACTGGACTGTGTGTAACCTGCAACATCCCAGTTATATCACACTGGACAGTGTGTAACCTGCAACATCCCAGTTATATCACACTGGACAGTGTGTAACCCTGCAACATCCCAGTTATATCACACTGGACAGTGTGTAACCTGCAACATCCCAGTTATATCACACTGGACTGTGTGTAACCTGCAACATCCCAGTTATATCACACTGGACAGTGTGTAACCTGCAACATCCCAGTTATATCACACTGGACTGTGGTGTGTGTAACCTGCAACATGCCAGTTATATCACACTGGACAGTGTGTAACCTGCAACATCCCAGTTATATCACACTGGACTGTGTGTAACCTGCAACATCCCAGTTATATCACACTGGACAGTGTGTAACCTGCAACATCCCAGTTATATCACACTGCACTGTGTAACCTGCAACATCCCAGTTATATCACACTGGACAGTGTGTAACCTGCAACATCCCAGTTATATCACACTGGACAGTGTGTAACCTGCAACATCCCAGTTATATCACACTGGACAGTGTGTAACCTGCAACATCCCAGTTATATCACACTGGACTGTGTGTAACCTGCAACATCCCAGTTATATCACACTGGACAGTGTGTAACCTGCAACATCCCAGTTATATCACACTGACAGTGTGTAACCTGCAACATCCCAGTTATATCACACTGGACTGTGTGTAACCTGCAACATCCCAGTTATATCACACTGGACTGTGTAACCTGCAACATCCCAGTTATATCACACTGGACTGTGTGTAACCTGCAACATCCCAGTTATATCACACTGGACAGTGTGTAACCTGCAACATCCCAGTTATATCACACTGGACTGTGTGTAACCTGCAACATCCCAGTTATATCACACTGGACAGTGTGTAACCTGCAACATCCCAGTTATATCACACTGGACAGTGTGTAACCTGCAACATCCCAGTTATATCACACTGGACAGTGTGTAACCTGCAACATCCCAGTTATATCACACTGGACAGTGTGTAACCTGCATCCCAGTTATATCACACTGGAACATCATCCAGTTATATCACACTGGACAGTGTGTAACCTGCAACATCCCAGTTATATCACACTGGACAGTGTGTAACCTGCAACATCCCAGTTATATCACACTGGACAGTGTGTAACCTGCAACATCCCAGTTATATCACACTGGACAGTGTGTAACCTGCAACATTCCAGTTATATCACACTGGACAGTGTGTAACCTGCAACATCCCAGTTATATCAAAGGTTGATAGAAGTAAAAACACTACTAAACATCTTCCCAAACTTTAATTCCTTTTCTTTCTTTCAGTATGTATAAAGATTGGAAGACAAAGAGGTGAGAACGACACAGCTAGAATACTTTCACTACTAGTCCAAGTAGCATGAATCATGAGAGTGACCAGCGTTTGTGAGTGTTCTCTGTTACCACAACTACTAAGCATCATCATCTGGTCATTGTGATTAGCACTGCGTAGTGATAGTAATTTGTTTTACATTTACCTTCACACAGCAAAAAGAAACAGTCCACTAGATTACCCATAGATGTGGACCCGTGAAGGTTCGGGTTAGAATTTGTCTTTAGTAACCCATGCTTGTCGTAAGAGGTGACTAACAGGATCCGGTGTTCAGGCTTGCTAACGTGGTTGAAACACGTCATCACATCCCAACTGCAAAGAACGATGCTCATGATGTTGATCACTGGATTGTCTGACCCAGACTTGATTATTTACAGACTGCCCTGGAATATTGATTAGTGCAGCATTAAACAACAAACCAAACCTATAGGTGACTTTAATAGATACACAATGCTCACAGAGACCAGGTCTCAGTGGCCGCCTCCCAGGGTTTCTTGACCTGATCTACCTGTGTTCGTGAAGAGGCATGTTCCACCACTGAATAAATGTCAACTTGGTTTAATGCCCCTCTTAGCATTATTTCTGTTGCAATGGCATGTCAGCTTGATATGGGTGAAAACTGATGCAGGTCTTGGGCACTCACAACTCAACAACGGTATAGTGCTGACACATCTAGAGACATAATCAGGGACTTGAAGCCATGATCACAGATTTCTGTCATGATGGAAAATTACATCTCTGATATTCAACTTGTGGCTGCTTTGTCAACTGAGGTGATCATGTTCATCAGAGATACTTCTGTGTTCCATGTCTGGAAAACCCAATCTGAAGACTGTCAGGAAGCCCTTGTATAGCCACATGTCTTCCACAAGATTATGTTTTAGCAAGCCATGCCTCTTCTGTATCTGCCCATAGCTGATGATCTGGTTTCCATGGAAACCTCTTAGTAGCTCCACATTCCAAACATGTGACTTTTGTTAACTTGATCTGTTTCCCTGAATAGAATACAAACATAACCATAATGATCATCACAAACAAAAAATGTTACAATTTTCATAAGCAGTTGTTCATTGAACAAACACAAACTGTAATGGTTTCAGGATTGTAGATCTCTAGTGGTGTTCACCATGTTCACCTTGACCTCACTGAGATAAACATCTGTTAGCATCACTTACAGAAGCTACAACAAATATAGTCTGCATCATGTTTATCCATGTTTTCTCTGGTGAACACAACCTTACATGATGCAATGAAATCAAATCTAATTTTTACATCAAACAATACCCATGCAAGAGATTATACATTTCAAATTGGGATAAAATCCTATGAGAGACTTAAGTGATCATATTTCATAATCCTTAAATATTCCCCAAGGCCAGTGCTTCAGCCAGGATTTCTTTCAGTGTTGCCAATTGGCACCTTAACTACCAAAATGTGTGCCAATGCAGTTGAGACTTTTGACATTCATAGACCTGTGGATTATATTAAATGTTGCATTGAAAAAAAGTGCCACTGTATATTTTTTAGTGTCAATGGCGCAATGGCGCTTGCCTGGCTGAAGCACTGCAAGGATATATCTTGGACATATATCTAATATGAAGCCTGCTGATACGGTGAACTGCTGGAGGTGAACCTTGAGCTTTCCAATACAAACATAATAACCCTGATGTGTTGGAGATCTAAAGTCCTCATTACAATACTCACTGCCTGTCCTGACTCTCGCTGTCAGCCCTGGCAGAAGTAACACACTGCACATCTTGCACAGCGTCCTTCTCATGTCTGGGTGTCTGATGATGAGAAACCACACCTGTTGTCAAGCTTATTATATTGCTTTAGCAGACATTTTACACTTAAACAAGTCAGATGATAAACTGATAACACGACATTACTGGTTCAAACATTTTAGATCTCCATAAAACAAACTTTCATGCACCAGCAGAGATGTCATTGATTCAAAATGTTAGCATTGTTATATCTATATAGATAGAAGTTATACATCTAAAATATAATTTATTGATTTCTTACTTTAACCTTAATAAATGTAAATGTTTCTGTGGTATTGAATTTCTAATTTAGTATTGATGTTAATAAATTTGTATTGTTACAGAATCAACATTATCAACACATCAATACCATTATACAATTCTTCAGTCAGTCAGGAAACTTACTGGAGTAGTGGATCTCATTGTAATGATATAGACAGTTATATGTCATCTCTGGAAAGGGTCTGGATGTAATTTCATGAATAGAAGGGTAAATTTAGACCAAACGAGAAAACAATTTTTACATGAAACTTGTAACATTATGTGTAAAATGACATGGCCAAGCATGTCATATGGTACCTCATATAGATATGTACTTAAAATATTCTTATATTAATCACTGGTTAACATAGATTCAAAACACTAGAATCTCTGTGCTTGCACAATTTATCTAGGGCAGCTTGACTATACACCTGACACACTTTCATTACCTCAAGTCTCAAACACCTGTCATGGTTACAGTTTTGGATTGCTGATCCAACATATTTAGTCAGTTAGAAATGGAAAATCCTTCTCAGAAATTAGAGAACGTGATACAGTAGCTAGATTTTGCGACTTCATGTACAACCTGAGTACCACATATTCATGTCTGATGAACTTACAGTCTCAGAACTTGTCTCTTGGCAAGTGTCTTCAGTGTGTGAATGTAATAGCGACACAGACTGACATCATACGGAGAGGTTCCCAGACTCTGGTGTGCTGCCTGTGGAAGACATAGGACAAATTCTGAAACTCATAGCATACTTGTTCACACTGATGACCTTGTATTTAATGTTATAACGTAAAAGTAAGTATAAGATATCTTATTTTCTTCAGTCCTGTTATCCATAGTGATCTGGAAATACAAACTACATAGGGTCCGTTCATATTTTATGGCTAGGGTGGGTGAAAATTATGCTTACGAAATATGTGTGTGTGTGTGTCCTGGGTACTGCATGATAGAATTACCCACGAACCGGCCCCTGATATTTAACCCGAACCGGCCCCTGATATTTGACCCAAACCGGCCCCGAGAAGTAAATATTTCTACATTGACATATTGATTAAAGTTCCTTTAACATAAATGACGAAAACATATTACTCATATGTCTTTACATGTAATACCGATTTTTGAAAATATATTAGCGAATATTAGTGTCGATGAGAGGCAAGTGAACATGCAAGTCCTGCTGATCACGGAGATCCCGTGGTAGAGGACATTTTATGTAATTCTTTTAAGAATCTAAAAATCAATTGCAAAACAATACTGAAGTAAAACGTGTACTAACATTTCGTTGTATCGTATCCACAGAATTGACACATTAATTCAATACAAGAATAGCGCATAAAACCAATATAATGAATTCACGTTTCACCTTTGTTATGCCCAAGTTTCCAGTAACGAAAAATAATGTCATCCTTCATCTTTTCGCATGTTTCCATGTGTGGAACATTTGTCAAGATTTTCAACACACATTAACCACCTTTCACAGAGTGAATTCTGCTAACATTATGAAAACTAAAACATTCTTCAGCGGAAGACCTGGGCATTTAACCAGCATATACAAGACATCTGGACAGAATATTCACAGGGCATCAAGACTCCATCCCAGACCCTTATTCTAATAACATCTCTCATAACTAAGAAGTAGCTTCAGAATCATCCACAGGCACAATAAGGAAAAGGAAATCTTCATGTCTGTGTATATATATAATAAATTAACTGAAATCTTCATGTCTGTACATAAATTAAATAAATTGAAATCTTCATGTCTGTATATATATAATAAATTAATTGAAATCTTCATGTCTGTCTGATTAATTGTTTGTCTGATTACCGTTAATTAACCCAGGGGCCGGTTCGGTTGCGGGGCCGGTTTGGGTTAAACATCCAAGGGCCGGTTTGGGTTAAATATCCAGGGGCCGGTTCGGGTGTATCCCATGATATGGCAAATCAGCATTTATAAATACTTGCCAACTGATAGATTTATGCACAGTATAAGATTTACATTATAACACACGACGTACTAACCTGATACAAAAAGTTAATACGTTGAAAGGTTTCTTTATTGGCTATACCAGGAGATTTGTTTTTTCCCCATCTTCTAGTTCTATCGACGACACAAGCCGCAATCTCGCGTCTTACACGACCAATACTACTTCCGCTGTCACCCGGAAGTCAAGTACCACGCATAAGTGAACTCGAAGAACGTGTGTCAAGAATAGTATGATATGTGACTTGAACAACATATACAATGAAATATGTGAACAAATACTTTAAAGTATTCAATTCTCATCCACAAAATGTTATTCTGAGTGGCACCTACGTACGTTTCGGTTGTGTTGCCGGTTACGATGCGTCTGTCATGTAACCCTTGTATAACCTTGACGAGGATCAATCGTGTCCGATGGAGGCGTCTGCAGACAGTAAACAGTCAACAGTTAAACAGACACAGGACGTTACACACGAAAGCCTTTTCACCAGGAATCACGCAGCATTTTGTTAGACATGTAAGTTGGTGCAGTGGTATTTCAGACGATTCGTTTATTGCCTTCATAAAACCTTCATAAAGAAGTTGAAAAACACTGCCAATGTATCTAAGTAAGTTTATCATGTTTCTGCACTCGAAGAACAAATGTTCAGTTACGTCAACTAATATATTGTTTACTGATATTTGGTCTGTTGATGGAGAACATGCTCAAGCCACTTTCATCCACAATTGTTATAATTAGCTATACTGAATGAGTGAGTGAGTTTAGTTTTACGCTGCACTCAGCAATATTCCAGCTATATGGGTCTGTAAATAATCAAGTATGGACCAGACAATCCAGTGATATACAGCATGAGCATCGATCTGAGTAATTGGAAACCGATGACATGTGTCAAGCAGGTCAGCGAGCCTGACCACCCGATCCCGTTAGTCGCGTCTTATGACAAGCATGGGTTACTGAAGATCAATATTCTAACCCGGACCTTCAGGCGTCTATACTGAATAAGCTTGTTTGGTTTATCTCGGTTTTGATCAGATAATAGCTGTATCACAGTATATTAAAGTATTAAAAGCGATGCAGGTATTAGGCCATTATTTTGTTGGTGAAAGCCACAGACATTAATTAGTATGGTGCAGTCTGAGGGATGTAATTCTTGTCTGGAAGTACACAGTGTGCAACTGCAAGTCAACTGTATTTTGTCTTTCTTAACAGCATACAAAAGAAGTCATCTCTTGGCATTTGAATATAATGAAGAACAATCATATATTTCTTTTTTCAGTATGAAACTCGTGCAGTACCTGACGAGAAAGACTCCCCAGGTTCCTTCCAAGGGACAGAGTCCAACCCTGATGATGAGTTGGAAAACATCACACTGGCCCCTTCAGCTACACCCAAGGACTATGTGTCACTTCACTTTCGCACAGCAGCAAAGCTAGTACATCTCAATGCAAAAAATGTTGGTAGAAATTTAAGTGTTATTCTTCCGCTCGGACAAGGCATTCCATTTTCATCTTCGAAGAGTAAGGTGAAAACATTGTTTGTATCAGCACCTCCAGTGGAGATTGTCAGTGATGTTCACAAAGATGTCACAGTACCGCCAAAGACTACAACAGCTACTGATGATAATCTGTGGAGAGAATGCAAGTTGGATTTAAGGCAGCTACCCCAGTACTACCTCAAGCTTTCAAAGATCAGGCTAACTGGTAAGACAGTAGTGGATATGTAATCTAAAGTCACACAATCTTTGCCTTTACTATGTGTAACTTATGCCTGAAGACTGGTATGAACAGAACCATTACTGACATGACGTTAGTACCCCATCCCATTCAAATCTGAATCCTCAGAGTTGTACTATGATTAGTATGAAGTTTGTCGTGTATTTAGTATCTTCCATAAATAAATGAATTTAACATGTTTACACAGATATGTTTTACTAAAGAATATTCATCACTGATTTTGTGCCTGTTGTATAGATCATCACACGGTATGTTTTTCAACTTTTAAAAATTGTCCAGGCTCTCAGTTTAAAAGTTCCTTTACCCTGTAACAAGCCCTGAGGATCCATGTTAGAATTGGTCTCAAGCAACTCACGTCGGTAATAAAAGGCATGAAACAAATGAGAAGTTGTGCTTCTTGGCAAGAACAATGTTGTGATTTGTGGCTGTTTTAAATTCTATCTAGCTGAAGGAAGTAATGAATGTTCCTGTCTTGTTTACCCGTGAAGGTCCGGGTCAGAATGAACTTTCAGTAACCCATGCTTGTCGTAAGAGGCGACTAACGGGATCTGGTGGTCAGGCTTGCTGACGTGGTTGACACATGTCATCGGTTCCCAATTGCGCAGGTCGATGCTCATGCTGTTGATCACTGGATTGTCTGGTCCAGACATGATTATTTACAGACCGCTGCCAAATAGCTGGAATATTGCTGAGTGTGGCATAAAACTAAACTCATTCACTCCTGTCTTGTTTACTTTGCAGGGCTGGTGGTGCTGACATCAATGGCTGGGTATGCAATGGCACCGGGAGCTTTTGATCCTGCAACATTCATTCTCTGTACACTTGGTACTGGACTGTCCTCCTGTGCAGCGAATTCTGTTAATCAGGTACCGGTAATCTTATGTTTGGTCAGCACCAACATGTCACATCAACATGATCATCAGTAGCCATGGTAGGAAGCTTCAAGCAGGCATGATGTAGACAGCACCCATCATTTATGATCCTAAGATTAACACCAGGTTAATAACTACTGACGTCTCTCAGCAGTATAGGTCAGAAGAATAAAGTTGGATTGGAAACCTAAAAAAATCATCTTTACACTGAATTATAAACTTTCCACTCATCATGCACTGTATCCCAAGTGATGTGGAGGTGTTACATGTGTTAATAGAAAGTTTGTATGGCAATACAGGACTGACTGATCACAGATAGGAGATGAAAGGGCACAACATTAAATAAGGAACAGAACCCTGATATATTTCAGAATATTAATTTCAAGAAGTACAGAACAGCCCAGCAGATTATTTGGTTGTGTCTGATGTGTGATGTTTTCACGGTTACTTTCAGTTCTTCGAAGTCCCATTTGACTCACAGATGAACCGCACAAAGAACCGAGTGTTGGTCCGAGGTCACCTGAGGTAAGTTACACATTCACAATAATTTTGTTATGTGCATTATTAGTGCAAGGTATAATTTGGAGAATCTTATACATGTACCTGTTCTTGATGTATTTGACTTCTTTTGAACCTAACCTGTGAGCAGCCAAAGCGGTATCAGTATATGCAACAATATGAACAATATCAAATAATTCTTATCAACATCATTTGCTCATATACTTATGCTGTTACCGTTTTGAGGCTAACAGCTGATCTGAATACTGACCATTATTCATTTACCATGTATACTTGTCATCTGAGGAACATTAAATATTAATTTTATCAACTCTATAAATGAACAGTTCTACTGGATGGCTGATTTTGAGACTGTATTCAGAAGGCCATGGTTATGAATCACTGATTTTTGTGATAAACATTGTATCCTACCTCTTGTATCATGGGTATCTGGATCACAGGCTCCCTTACTTAAAGTACGAAGGATATTACTATGTCAGTGCTATACTGAGGTTGTATTTTGTAATCGGTGTTTGCTGTAACAGTGGATATGATATGGCTCCCTCGTTATTCTAGCCATCTCCATAGTATGATCTTTGCTGGTGTGTGTGGAGTGACAGGCATCTCAATGTTGGGTCTGGGAGTGAACAGCACGACAGCCCTGCTTGGGGCCTTCAACCTTGGACTGTACACTCTAGCCTATACCCCCATGAAGAGGCTGAGCATCACCAACACGTGGGTGGGGTCCGTGGTCGGTGCAATACCCCCCATGATGGGCTGGGCAGCGAGTTCTGGCGGGATTGAGTCAGGTTGGTGTTCATATTCATCATAGTGATGTTTTTTTAAAAACCTCGGTGGGTAACAGTTAGACCTGGCTCCCAGCACTCATCCTTGTTGTAAAAGGCAACTAGATTGGTTAGTGTGGTAATGTGTGAGTTGTCTGATTGTATCCCATTTGTTCAGTACACTCTTACTTACCTCTTATCTGTAATCTATACTCTTTAATAAAGTAAGAGAGATTGGAACAATAACTTCGATTTTCCAAAAGTGTGAAAGATATTAGTTTCTAGTAAGAGTTGTATGATAATAATAAACAAATTGAGAACTCATTAAAACAAGTAGAGAATTATGACAGCAGATTTTGTCTTGAAGGAAGATTGGGTTAAGATGGGAAGTTGATGATTTAATTTGTTATCTGAAGTGTGTCAAACATTGAATACAGTGTAACTGTTTTGGTGATTTGAGGGCATCTGTCTCACTCCTCTGGTCCCATATTCCCAGTCATGTCTTAGATGTGTTCAATTGGGGAGAGGCTTTGTATGGATGTTGTGCAGCTGTAGGTGACCAGTCACAATTTGTGCAGTGGGATGAAATGTTGGCCTTGTTGATGGGACAGCAAAGGTGTTGGTCTGTTGTCCCAATAGTATTGTCCAGTGACCTTCCCATGCAAAATATGGAGAGATGTTCACTCAGTCATACTCATAGTGATGCCTTTCCGCAACATAACTGCTGTACCGCCAAATCTGTTTTGAAGTCTGGTTCACATTGACGTGATGTTCATTTTGATGTGACCTGATAAACAATTCATGAATCATAACGATCACAGTTTGCAGTGCAGGATTGGTAACATCTGTTAGTAGTGACATTTATTGTTAGCCTTCAAGACAAGCATAGAGTACACATTTGATATCACTATTTACCATTCTGTGCTCTTGTTATATTGATCATGAGTAATGTTTGCTATCTTCTTCACCTGTAGGAGCCTTGTTGCTTGGTGCGATCCTATATGCCTGGCAGTTCCCTCACTTCAATGCCCTCAGCTGGAACCTCCGTCCAGACTACTCCCGCGCAGGCTACCGAATGATGTCCGTCACTAACCCAGCACTGTGTAAACGAGTAGCTTTCCGCTATTGTGTGGTGACCACCGGCCTGAGCCTCATGGCTCCAGCTATAGACTTGACCACATGGACATTTGCTGCTGGATCACTGCCACTTAACTTATACTTCTCTCGTACCTAGGTTACTGCTTCTACCGTGATGGGGACAGTAGGTCATCACGGAAGCTGTTTAGGTTTAGCTTGATACATATCCCACTGCTCCTAGTGATGATGTTGGTATGTAAGAAGTCCCAGGATAAGACAGCTGAAAGTCAGCTACCTTCAAGTGAACAACTAACAAGTGTACAGTAACAGACCACAAGAGTTTTATATATGGTGTGATTTGTTGTTGATGGTCTGCAATACTGTGATATTGTATGAGTTGTCTCCCTTGGACAGACACGATCCATGATGCACCAAGAGGATGAATCAGGTTAACAAATTTCTCGAAACATCTTATGTAAGCTGTTGGAGAATTCATTTCTGTTTGGTCTGTACACACTCAGGGGAAACATGAAAATTTGCAAACATTTGTATATGAATAAATATTGTTTTTTTTGTTTTCTTAAGAATTATTGTTTTGTTGACACTTGTCATATATGTTACAAAAACCAGGATGATACAGTAGCAAGTCCACTAGGATATTTCCACCATGCTTCACAGTCTCCAGCTGATAGTAGTCTATACAGATAAACAGTTCTGATCATGTGCCACAACCCAGATAGTGGGTAGTCATAGTAATAGGACACTTCTGTTCCATGTAAACCCTGATGTAGTGTTCCCAGGAGAGTTAATCGGCTTGAGGAATAATAAGAATTGAGAAATGTCTCTTGATGTTTTAGCCTTATTAGAATCTGCTAAAAGACCAGGACTGATGAGGTTGGAGTAATGGTGTTGCCACAGTTGGTAAATAGGAGGAAAAACACCTCAGTCATAGTGTTCCTGGGACCAGGGAAGGCCGAGGCTAGGTTGACTGACTCTAGATTTGGCACTCCCTTTAACTGCTCATCATAGTACTTGTTTATTGTTTAAAGAAACATCCTCTGATGGTTGTTGTTGGTGGACAATGACACTTAACGTCTATTAGTGGTCAATAGATGGATGGCATGCTCAATTCTGTACAGGAGCTTCTCATTGCCGTTTTGAAGCATGTCTTGATGAGAGCTAGCATAATGTGGGATGTTTTTCACTGTATTCATATGTATGTTATGCTTAAAGGGTTGTGTAATCATCTTCTCATGTAATGCACTACCAGACTTAAATCAAAAGGGATACAATATGGAACAAAAGATGAGATACTTAACATGGAGATAGTCTTTAAAAATAAGTCAAACCTCTCTGTCTCTAAGTTGTAGGAACCAAGGCAAAAGATTAAGGCAAGCAACAAAGTGACCTTTTGAAAACCAAACATGTATATGTTATAAGAGATAACTATCAGGTCCATACACAACACCAGATTTCAAGACTACTATATTTTGGTTGTTGCCAGGGAAGGGGACGGCAACTTGGGTGTATTGTTATACTCACTGTCTCAATCAGGATTGGTGTCTTTGTTTAAGTCATACTAGGAAAGTACAACCAGAAATTATTGAGAATTTATAGATTGTAAATGTTTTATTTTTTTCACTCATTACTGACGTATTAGATGTGAATATTAGCAGAACATAACTCCAGATTCAAAGATAGGTGAACAGTTAGTATTTTGTCAAGTCACCGTGGGCAGCAATGCAGGCTTCAATGCGGCGGGGCATACTACTGATCAAAGAAGTTAGAAAGTCGTTGTCCATGCTGTCCTAATATCGGACCACCTCTTCTTTCATTTCAGCAATATTTGTCAGAATTTTCTTATTGACACTTTCCTTCATAAGTCCCCAAACATTTTCTATTGGATTTAGGTCAGGGCTATAGCTTGGCCAATCTAATAGTGTCATATTTTGGGTGCGAAACCAGGCCTGTGAATGCTTTGAACAATGTTTTGGGTCGTTGTCCTGCTGAAAAATCCAAAAATTTCCATAGAACACGTGAGCTGATGGAACTAAATGTCCCTCGAGAAAATCTGTGTACCGCTCACTGTTCATATTCCTTTCAAATACACAGAGGGGCGTTGCCCCTAACACAGATATGCCACCCCACACGTTAAATTTCGGACTTTGCTTTGGGCGCTGATACAAAGGTTTTTCAGTTGGTTTGGTCCAGAATTTCAGTGTATTAGGAAACAGCGACACAGAACTTTCATCTGAGAAAATCACATTGTCCCAGTTAAAATTTGTATGCTGTAAGCACCAGTTCAACCTTCACTCCTTTTGTTCAGGTGATGGAATTCCTCGATTTTTCTGCCAACCCATTGCATGCAGCTCAGTTCTTATTGTCTCCTTACAGACAGCCATAGTTCCTCTATCAATCATATCCAGCCTTAAGTTTTCTAAACTCCTTTTTTTGGTTTTAGAAACAAGAATACCAAGCCGCCTCCCGTCACCGACAGTCAATTTTCTGGGCCTACCTGCCTCCCTTGTGCTCAATGGCATATCCATTTGCAATATTTTTCAAAACACGATAAACAGTGGACAAAGGGGTGCATGTTCTACTTGAAATCACTTTAGCTGATCTTATGTCCTTGTTATAATACTCTAAAGTCAACTTCCTCTTCTCTAAATCATTCATACTGAGGATCACTGAAAATGTTGTCGGCTAGCAAGTAAACAAAGGTGGATAACTCTTCACAAATTTAATGAAAAAGGATTAACGGAGTTGTCTCTCTTGAACGAAACCAAGCACTTGATAGCTGGTCAAGGTTGTTTATACTAGAAATCCAATTAAACATATTCCTAAAATTCTCAATAATTTCTGGTCATACTATATCTTGAAGAACTGATTCTGTAATGTAATCTTACCCTGTTTTAACTATTTCTTACTATCCATTTGTCATCAGCAGTCAGGTGAGAACACTGAACTTGTTGCCAAAGTCTCAGTCTGCCTCACAGTCCCTGAACCACATTATTTCCCCTTCTACCCAGCCCTTTCTGCAAAGCAAAAGCCTAAATGAAGCAAGTTAGATTTTCCTCTGAATCTCCCATCAGTGTAGGCTCCATTTCAATTTAGACAGAATTATGTTTTCCTATCAAAATTATTTATATTCCTACACTAAGCTTGAATCTACTTTAACGATTGGCAAGTGTGGGTGTGTGTACGATTCTTTTTCTGATATTTTGACCTGTCCGAGCTGTTCCCGGGATGATTTTGCTTTCTCCACAACCTGAAGACAATGATTCCCGTTCGGCAGATTCTTTCAAGTGCCTTATGTGGTTTGTCGATTTTAGGTCCGGACTCCGCAATATTTGAGCTGTATGGTGGCAATATGTTAATAATCCAGTCTGGACTAGACAACCCAGTGATCAACAGCATGAGCATGGATCTACGCATTTGGGATACGACGGCTTGTGTCAATCAAATCAGAGAGCCTGACCACTCGATCCCGCTCTTACGACGAGCATGGGCTGTACAAGGCTAATTGTAACCCGGATCTTTGCGGGTAACGCACGGTGCAAACTACACAGGGTCTTTGTACATGCTTATGTAGCATTATATATTACAACTGACAAGGCTGGCTTGTTGTGTATGACAGCAATGCGGTATCCTAGTTCTACCGTTTGGTCATCATTACGGACAATCATGTTCAGTTCATCATACATTACAGTGGTGTGAATGAGAGCGATACGGTAACCTGGTGGTTATAATAGTCTGTCCTACAGACCCTGAAACAAATATACCCAATGTAGCCCATGCAAATCTAGAATATGTGCCAAGTCTAGGTTTCAAGTCTCTGAAAATGAATAGAGTCTCAGGGCTCCTTTTCATTATTTTTTATATATCTTTCTTGTAAAATATACTGAACAGCAAAAGAAACACAAGTTTCGAAAACATGAAATTTTATGGTAAGCGTTCATGTTTATGGAACGTTCATGGTAAAGTGACGTAATGATCCCAGATGAGATGATGTCATGCAATTTGACGTCCATACGAACCATTCGCACAAACACACCAACAGTGCAGCAAAACCATAATTTTAGCACGTGCATCGACGGTTCTGGATGGAAACATGCATTTCACTCTGAGGTATTCTTTATAAAGGTTTGTGTCAAAAACCAGTTCAGTATTGACACTAGGAGGTGTACACGTCACACAAACGATGCCTAGACTAACGACTGAGCAGAGGGGGGTGGCCATTGGAAAGTTGCACGGAGGTAGCTCTGCAACCGCTGTAGCTAGGCAATTGGGCTGTCATCTTACCACATTACACGACTTACTCAACGTCATCAGCAAACCGGGGTTGCTGCTGATCGTCCCCGTACCAGACGGCAACGAGTGACAACTCATACGCAAGATCGGTTCATCCGGGTCACTCATCTAAAGAACCGAACTCAAGCAGAAACAGTAACAGCAGCCTTAGTTCTTGGGTCAAGTGGAGCAGTGTCCAGCGATACGATTAGGCGTCGTCTTCGGGCTGCTGGAATCCACTGCCGACGGCCATATGTGGGGCCAGTTTTGACACGTCAACAACGCCAGCAGCCCTCACACAGCAAGGGTGTTGATTGATCATCTGGCACGGAACAAAGGTTAACATTTTTCCATGGCCGTCTCTTTCCCGGATATGGCTCACTTTGAACATTCTGGGACGAAATTGGATGAAGGATTGGGGCAGGTAGACAGCCACTCACACTTGCACAATTGGAATACAGATTGTGTTTGAGCGGTGTTTGAGCGGAACCAGTTGCCTCAGGCAGTCTTTCAGACTCCAGTGAACTCAATGAGGCCACGTTGCACGGCCTGTGTGCAAGCTCAAGGTGACTATACGCGCTACTAAAGAGACTGTCACTTTTCGCGTTCAGGGGTATCTCCATTTGACGGACTGTGATCAATTTGAACTTATTGCTATTCAATGTCAAAAGCAACTTTCAACTGTTAAATTGACAGTGTTTTCTATAGAATAAATGATTAGACATGTTTGGTTGTCTTCTATTAAAAAAATTGACAAATAGCCAGACTTGCGTTACTTTTGCTGTTCAGTGATATGTTCATTTCAGAGACTAGTTGTTTGTCTACCTGGTGGTTAAACGTGTGGTTTCTGTCGAAGACGCATGCGAAGACGCATGCTCGATTCCTGAACATGGTATAGAGAAGCACCACGTGTATGTGAAACAGGTTAGGGCTGCATAAGGTAGCAGTGCATAACAGGATCACCACTTACTGTTCAATAAAAATACACAATACCACATCAGTTCGCGTAAAGTGGGAGAACAGGTATAACATATTATATATTGAATTACACCTTCTCAGTAAAGTACAGAATCTAGTACTTTTGTTGGGTTGAGTCCCTTCCGAGATTCGAACCCCCACCCCCACCCCCACCCACAGAGTCAGTCGCATAACCCACTCAGCCACGAAGCGTGATTTACAAACAAACTCAAACTCTTTTATTCTCAAAAGAACCACTCTTTGTGGTACAAGAGAAAAATTATAAACATTTGCAATACATCTACATAAAGGCAACATGGCAGAAAGTACAA